ATATACGGAAATAATTATCGTATTATGGAAAGATGAAAAGGAATAACTTTTTTTTGTGACATGGGCAAAGACAACAACCGGGAAAGATCCACAATCCACAAAAAAATTGTAAGCCAAATCGGAGTTATCATTATGTAATAAATTTTTTTTTTTTATATTGTAATATAATAATGGTAATATGGCAACATCACCTTAAAAAGGTCCGGAATTTCTAAATAATAAAACGATATTTAAATTGAGTATCAATAAATAATAACAAACTCAAATAAAATATTAATAATAAATAATCACCATATATATTAAAATTGAAGGGGAGAAGGAAGAAAAGAAGAGTAGAAAAGGTAATAAAACTTAAATCGCCCCAATTCCCCAAATAATTAGGATCTACTTTTATTATTCTTTTTCTTTGTTTCGGGCTTTTCAGCTAAACGACACGAAAGTTTATTTCAAGTTGTAAACAAATTGTAAGTCGTTCGCGAAAAATAAATAAGATTTAGAAAGAACGGTAAATACCGGATAAACAAGACCATCAAAATATATTTTTCTCCTCCTTGTGTATGTGTTTAAAAGCCGCGAAAAAAAATGATCAAATGATGATAATCCTAGCTAAATATGTTTAGCTAAAAGGAAATTCAACTTTAAAAATAATGAATGAATTAAAAAAAAAAAATGAACTCAAAATAAAATCTATTTTTATTTTTCTATTTTAATATTATCATATTTATTTGTTCACTCATTTTGTTGGTTAGTTTCAACTGCTCAATTATTTATTCTTTTTTTTTTTATTATTATCAATTATAGCGCTTCACTTAAAACTTTTTTAATGTAAGAGATTAATAACAATATTTATTTTACATTAGTAATAATTATATAGGGAACGCCGGACTTTAAAAGTCTTACGCTAATCTTACTGCGAAATAACCGGCGAATAAGGCATGAAATTACGATACAAGACTACAAGAGATTACCAACTCAGATCGATGATTAATTGGAATTCATATTGCTTTATTAAATTAAGTTATTATACATTAAATAAGCTAATATATGGACAATATTAACTTTCACAATAATATGATTAACAAAAAAAAATCTATCGACAACATTAAAAAATTGGTTCTCATAACCGTCCGACCTAGTTTCAAGAAAATTTACAGAAAAAATTGCTAATATTAATAATCAACAGGTTATTTAAAGAAAAAAAAGTTAAAATTTGGGACTACCATTTATTTTTACCTTACAAATATATAAAATTTTTAAATAAAAATACCGTCCACCGACCTCAAGATTTTAAATCCATGAAACGAGAACCAATTTTTTAAACATTGTGTCGCCTAATTTTATATATACGGTTTATAGACTTGCTTCGTTAAACTGTATACAGAATTTTATTAAAGTTTCGTTATATTAATAAATAATTTGTGTAACAAATGATTAACTTATAATGCCACATGGTAATACAATTTCTTGTATGAAAACATTAATAATCATTGCATTGAATTTTCTTTCATCTTTTTGTGAATTGACGATCTTTTTTTTTTTTTGAAACTTTTTTTGAAACACTATTACTAGAGTCTAGACTCTAGAGTAAAAAATATCATCGATTGTTTACCATCCCTATAAAAAATTTTTATCCGTTATTTCTGTAAAAACTCCGTCTTTCATGGATCCATTCACAATTCCGGAAATATGAGCCTTTTACGGAAAAAGATGGAATATAAAAAACGGGCCGACATTTTTTACAGAGCTATAATGTTTAGGACATTTTTACGCTTACATTACTTATTTTTATGCATAAATCCTTTTAGATTTACATCTGTGCCATTTATCTTACGTTATACGCAAATATAAATACAAGTATCTTTTTTTTGAGCCCTATTAGAGTTCTAAAAAAAACTATTATTAACTCCTTTGCTGCAACATTTATTATTTACATGAATTATAAGTTCTCCCATTGCGTTTTTTTTTGGACCCTACTACAAGAGATTTTTTTTTAAAAAAATATTATTAACATGATCTTCAGGCATTTCTTTTTATGCTATTTTTATGTAACCTTATAAATGTACCGTAACCATTTTATGCATTAATCTCCTAGTATGTTGTCAACCTTTTTATTATACCATTTATAAATTTCTTTAAGGGTTCTAAAAAAAACTATTATCAAACTTCTTTGCATAACATTTGTTATTTACATGATCCCAACCCTTGGCCATTGCAGCTTGCAATTTTTTTTTTGGACCTACGAAAGTTTTTTTTAAAAAAAAATGGTATCGAAATAAACTCCAGAATAAGCAATTATCGGTTAATAACAAACTCTTTTTTTAATTAGAAGGGAACACAATTTTATATTTTAAAGTTGTGTTTATGTTTGCATCAAATTATAGATCATGATGTACTATTTATATATTTGAATGTAATCGAAATAAAGGATTATGCCGAACAACTTTTTTTTTTTTTAAACATGCTTGTCATAATTGTCATACCGTTTTTTGATCCTTTTAATACACCTTAATACACACCTTAATATACCGATGAAATTATGAAAACGCGAATATAAATACAGGTATTTTAAATCTTATCAACCTCCCAAGTCCCAACCTTGCAATTGATGACCTTTTAATTGTAAAAAATATTATCACTCTCTTTGGCGTTTGGCCAAAATATTTAACATCGTCCTCTATAAGATACCAATCATTGACTTGTATTTATTATTTCTCTTTTTTTGGTTTCATTTTTTCTTTTTGCTATTCCTCTCTATTAAAGTTCATGTAAAACATATATAGGCACATTCAGATTTAATTCAGTTCTCTATATTAAAGTTCATATAAAACATAAATATAGCACATTCAGATTTAATTCAGTTCTCCTTTTAAGAAGAAAAAAATCTAATTTCTTCAAGAATTTTTATAAATATATAAAATTTTTACAATGGATCATGAACAACCACCAACAAATCAAACAATAAATGCAACTCAAATGGAACGTGCTCCTTCAAAAATTCCACGCGATAACTTAAACATTTCTTGCGACTTTTCAGATACAACATCTAACAATCCATCGTCCTACACTAGTTTTGCTATTCGTAGACGCCGAAATCAACGACGGTTAAGACATGAAATTACAATTAATACGTATATATTGAATCACATAAGACGATTACCGAGACAAAACACAAACGTTCCATTTACAAATCAATTTTTTAATGGATCCACTTTCCCCTAAAAATGATCCATCGCTTATTAATTAAATAACATATCTTCGCTTACGTTTAATCGAAATCGTTATTCTAATTCCGTCCGCATTCAAACGCAAAATCTGTATATGACATATCTCAAACATCATTGGCAAATCTACTCACTTTCGAAGTTAATTTTATCGATCTAATAATCTTCATAACAAAAAATTTCGGCAAAATTTATGTATCGAACATTATTCGTTAATAATGATCACCACCAATATTTTATTATTTAAATATGTTAAATTAATACATACACAAGTATACATTTCATTCAAACAAATACTTCAAAATTTTTACTATTTTCTGAGCGAAAAATTAAGCTTATTCCATGATTTTTTTAATACTACTATTATTAATATGGATTGTTGTATAAGTATATATTATATTTTGAAACTTTTTCTTTTTTTATTTTCTCCATGAAAATACTGTATCCGACGACTACTATTAGTACGTTTTGGTTCTTAAGACTATAACAGTCACTGGACATTTCCGGAATCAGGGTCACTAATTAAATTTAATGTGACTTGTCGATTTATGATTTATTAGTAAATACTGGTTTTTTCATCACATGTAAACTTTAATTTTTATCCAATAAAATTATGCGTAAAAAAATTTTTTTTTCTTACAGACACGCCGATATAATTTTCCAAGGGTTGTTTATTAATGAGTTAGAAGAATCTCTCCTTGAAGTTGACTATTTTTTCGTTAAAATACTATAAATTTACAAATAAATAAATAGAATATTTTCACCTATAAAAGCAAATTTAACCTTCAAAACTATACTACTTTTATTTAAGATCTTGTTTTTAAAAGAAAATAATATTATTTTAGTTGGTGGCCGTCATATAAATCTGATGTGGGAAAAGGATAATAGAAAAAAAGTTGGTGAAGTTTAGAAGTTTCTGTATTAAACTAAACATTTTTTTGGTTCTGACGCTTAATGTATAATAAAGAATTCACCTTCTCAGCTTTTTATCAACAACGTATGTATAAACTTCCTCTTGTTATATTAAGTCAAATGACAAATTCTATATAATAATATATGCAAACAAATTTATATTGGTTTAAATTTACTGTTTATTAAATTTTATTAAAATCGCTATTTATAAAAAAAAATTGACCATAATTGGCACATATAAAACTTTGGTTTCAAGCGAATTGAGATGGTTTCATTTTACCACATATTCCCAAATAGTAGATGAATGTATGATAAAATTTTCAGAGTTCCCCGAAGCTTACCATATATCTGCAAATTAAGCCCAAAGCTAATTTTTGTGTTACACCGATTTTCACTATATTATTTTTACATTATATTCTAGTTATCTCGAACCAATAAATAAATAAAATTTATGGATTCGCCTAATGTGAATTAACTGCAAATGATCGACATCGTGTCCGTTTCTCAAATCACGGGATGATCGGCTAATTAGATTTCACTTCCCGCATTGCATTCTCGCTAAAGGTCCAGCACATTTCTTCATAAAACTGGAACTCTCACAATGTAAAAACATGTCATCTGTTGAGTGGACTGACGCCCAGGTTTGCTTTCTCATTGACGAGTGAAAGCTGAGTATCATGCTACTCCAAATAAAATGTAACGACTTTTTTGGGATGACATCGCTAGACAAGAATGTTATTCCGATCAAGAGGAAAAAATTTGCAACCCTATTTTTTCCTTATGCACCACATAAAAACGTATTCTTTGAACTTACAGGCGCAGTAACCGATGCACAATGATGGTAACTTAGCCGTGGTATTAATGTTAAAAAGGTAAAGATGCGTCATTTTATTATTGTGTATTAAACTTACTTTATATACTGTATATTTAGATATTATAAAAAATTTTACAGTGAATTTTACAGTGAATTTACATTAATATAAGTAAATAATGGGATGAAAATAGCTGAACTGATCCTAATGAATTAATTTCTTCACTTGTGGAGATTCCGGAAGCTTACGCATAAAAGATACTTGTGTAGGTGGTGTAGATTCACCACTTGGATGTTTTCGATACTTGTAATCCTCCGAAATTTTCCCAACCCGTTCCTGTCATTGTAAGGGCAAATAGAAGTAATAAGCAAAATACCTTATTGTAATCTCAAAGAAGAGCATACCTACCTCCAAAGCAGCTAAATGACCTATTGCCGATTCAGCTAGTGGGATTGTGGTCTTGTCGGTCACAAGTCTGGTTGTTAAAAAAGGCCACGAACGATATAATCCGTCATATTGTAAGTCCATGAAGAACGACTCCATTAACTCCCCTGGTTATCACAGAAATTAATAAATATATCATAAAAAGTAACAAAGTAAAATATATTATATATTACAAGCGTACATACCCATATTCAGAAATATCCCAGCTTCACCTGGACCTCTCTTAGTACGAAGTTGTAGATTAATCGATTTTCGGGCCTTTAATTGTGCTTTTATTCTATCCTTCTTTTGTTGTAATGGTGTATGACCTAGTGGTTTTATCTCCGAATTTAAAATTGATACACCGTCTACTGTACAGGATAAATCCGGCCTTTTTTTTGAGCCCTTATCAGCGCGGTTCAATCTGAGCTCGTATTCTTTTTCGGGACCCGTAAACAATGGTCGACTTATCGGATGAAGGAACATACAAGTATGTTCGTCCTCGGATAGTTTTATTGGAGCAACACACTGAACACAATTAAATCTATAATAAACAATATATAAGCAATAAATTTATAAATTATAAATTATATAATAATTTTATAGACTTACAAATCATTAAACGAGCACGCGACCGCTCTGCTCAAATCCGAACTTTCACAATCCATAAAAACATTTTTATTAACTAAATGTCCACGAGTCGCATTGTAGAGAGATAATGAAATCTCAGGCGAAAGTGGAGGTTCGTTTAAAACGTATGGATTGGCGTTTGTTATTTCCCTCCACTCTCGTTTCGTAAACATGGGGTACGGGCATGGCCAACAAAGTACAATAATTGATGATAACGCTCTAAATGCAATGAGAAAAAAGAATAATATATCCTGACATAATCATTTGTAAACATGCTTCAGAAAACTTACAAAAGTTCGTAGATATTGTCATATTTTAAGCCCTCCCTCTCCGCCCTCTTGATCACTTCTTTTTGGTACTGCCGAAACCGATCGGTTACGTTTATACAGCCAACTTTCCACTAAAAAAAAAAGCGAATTGTGAAATACGTAAAGTAAAAGAACAAAAATCGATGCGTCATACTTTGCATGTTGGTTCGCGTTCTAGCTCTACCGAAATATTAGCTAAATCAAATTTTATTACTTCATCGTCTTCATGATCTTTAGCACCCTCATCGGAGGGAACCTCGAAGGAAGACTTCTCGCTGTTTCTTAATCGCGGATGCTCCACGCTATAAGTACTCTTCACGGTCTTTTTTGACTAAATACAGAAAAATGTACATGAGCTTTTACGTTCTTGTAGCTTTCACCACCTATAATTTTTTACCTTTTTACGTGTAAAAACGTCTTCTTCGGTTTCATTTCCTCGTTTATTAGTTGGTAATTTCACACCTTCGTTTGAAATTTCTTGTAAATATGCATACTGTCGCAGAAAAAAAAGCATTAGGACAAGTAGAACTTTGATATTTAAACATATTTTCAATGAGAATTATCATACCTCATCCTCGGATACTAAAAACGATTTATTTTCGGAACCATCTATAGTTGAATTTTGGATTTCATCCTTGTTACTCCCAGGTAGTTCTTGATCTTGGTTTACTTTAGTTGCAGTTAATTTCAAGCTTGAAAGAGCACTATCATTCAATGTAGACGCGTATGATTGGCTTTGGCTTGTAGCTTGAGCAATCCCTTTAATCTGTTGTATTCAATCATAAGATAAAAATTGCGAACAATTTGTTTCAAATGTTTATACAGTTAAATAATTACTTGAAGAATTTCCAAATTCATCTTTTCTTTATCTACCTGAAGAGCACACATCTTGTTTTCAATGGTAAGCCAAAGTTTATCTATATCGTTGCCTTTTTTCCGTTGATCCTAACAAACATTAAAAAAAATTTTATTAGTTTGATCTTAATGAACAAAATATTTTCTGCGAATCAATAGCAACAAGTGCTACATCAAGCCACAGCAAGCTAAAAGCCACACTTCCTAGCCATGGATGCCTAACAGACATTTAGAGTTTCTACTCACTAATAAAAACCAGAGACTACAACGAGCTAAAAGCCCATCAGAGGAATAGCTAAAAGCCATACCTCCTTGTTATAGATGAAACATTGAATTATGCCCGTATAACAGCAATGATTTGTTTCATATAAAAACTCTTATTATGACGTAGCATTCAAACAAAAAAAAATACTAGAAGTAATTTACTTTAATATCAGCCAAAAGGCTCTTTGCTTTCGTAACTTTTTTATCGTCTGAGCATTTATTGACAATCGCACGGAGACCTTTGGCGAGTGTATCTGAAGACTTATCGTAAGCTAGATTTACCGGATTCCTTTGGATCCACTCTATATGAAATTGTAAAACATCCCAATCTTCTACATCGGTTTCGTCAAAATAAGCGTGCCATGAGTTAGCCATGATAAACGAAAGAAAATTTCTGGGTTAATTTAAAACGAAATATAAAAAAAAAAAATCTTTCAAGAGTTCAGACACGCGCCGGTCCGAAATGTGAGGAGTGATTTTACGCGTCACTGATCACGTGTAAGCACGAGTTCACACTAAATTATCTGATTTTTTTAGTCACACAATTCGAACGTGCCAGACACGCACATGGGAATAACCAGTCTCGACAGACACAGATCTGCCAATCACATTTGCTGATGCGTTTAAAAGTGATTTGTTTGCATTTCTAACGAAAAGTGGAATTCGTTCCCGGCTAATTAATTATAGTATTAAATGAAGAAATACAATATCAAAGACTTCTTAGACCTCAAATATTTCGTACACAACTCACAATATCTGAGAATAAAAGCGAAAAACAATTTTTGTAATAACTCAGTCAAACATAATGCTAGAAATGTGATTACTGCCATTGGATTTCTTATCGCAAATGAATATCTTATTTTTTGTGGTAAATGTCTAATATGTCTAATAAAGTGTTGACTAGTAGTATCGCCTATGATCTATATTTTTTTGATTGATTTATTGTAACAGGTATATTTTTTGTTTAACTAGACTGCTTATCAAAAAATTCTTCAACTTGCATATACTGAAGAATTTCTAGAAATTTTTGTGATAAATTTTTTAATCGTAATTCGATTATGATGATGATTTTGACATAGTATTAAATAATATCGAAGAAACTTTAATAACGTTAAATTCTAAAAATGAGGATAAGTACTAATCTGATTACCTGATTTATTATTTTTTAGGCTCACGATAAGTTATCTGTAAAATTTAAAGAAATTGCAGAAGGATCAAAAAAACTTAGTAAATTCGTATTACATTATCAGTTTATTTTTAAGAAAGATAAAATAAAAAATTCTTTCTCTATTCAGGTGTAAATGACTCTCACGAACCTGATTATCAGTGAAGATGAAATTACTCGTAATATTCAAGATCTTCATCTACGTAGTGGAAAGCGAGGACGCGGTTTATGAAAACAGTCCGGAACATCTAACGAATCTAATGTTTCATTAGAGTAAGTTTAAAAACAAAAGACGTATTTATTTTAAAAAGCCTATTTTGATTAATAATAATTGTTTGTTATATAATAGCGCGATAAGAAGTAAGTTAGAAAGAAACAACGCGTGTATGGGATGATAAATTGACAAAAGAAAAGATGGAAAGTTTGGATTATAGTGAAGATAAAAGTGATAGCGATAAATCGTCATCAGTAGATCCGCAAAATTTGGTTGACCTAGATTAATTGGGTCAATTACAACATGGGTATTATGAAGTACTGAAGCTGATGATGATGATGAATATGAAGAGGATGATTATAATGAAACAACAATTCAGCCAAGAATAATAGCGGATCTAGCATATTTCCATTTCTAAAAATATCACTAAACTGAAAGAAATTACAGAACAGGACCTCGTTAACATTTAATTAAAAAAATGTTGCAGCTGATATTGCCATTTGTGATTCCGTTGTGAAAAACTGATAGGACAAAAGACTGGAAGCTTTAAGAGTATGTTATTAGTATGTTTATTCTTTGAATAAATTTTTGTTTAATTTTGTCATTAAAAATTAATTTTAACTTAAAGAGGAATTTAGTCAACTGTGAACCATTCTGTGGAAATGTCGTTGAAACGTATACTCACCTCAAAGACATCAGTTTATTTGCTACGTGATATTGTGCAAGCTCAGTCTGATTCACGTCCTTATACGATTTACTTTATTGGAGTAACGGTGGGTTAAATTTTGTAAGATAAATAACAAAATTAGAAAATGCTTACATACTTATAATTTATATAGGTGTTGGTAAATGTTTTGCAAAGGGACTAAAGTTTTAATGTCCAAATGTCGAAGAGCTCAATGTGAGAAATCAATTTATGGAAGATGATGACAATCCGAGAACTATTCAGCCCACTTCTAAAAGTGAAGGATGTACTGGGTTATCCAAATGTTGGAGAGATTATATTTGGGAGATACCGATTAAAGATTTCTTGGCCGCGTCAGATGAAGTACAATGAAGTTGTCTTGTGCCTAAACCAAATCAAGTTATTTTTAAATCTGAGCAAAGAATATTTCGCGTTATTTTATCAAATTTCGGCTGCATCATGGCTTGATTGATGCTTGAGTTGGTGTTGGAGTTGTAAAATTACCCACATTTATGTCAATGAAATTTTAAAAGCTATAGAACAATGCAATAAAATGTTGAATTGGCGATGTATGAAAGAATTACGTAAAACTATAGTATATGATTCAGGATGGAAAATTCTTTTATGATATTGTAAACAGGTTCGCAGGACATTTTAGACACTAGATATTATGATTGATGAACTCGATCAGGTTATTTTGTTTTTTTACGAAATAATATTTCTTTAGTTGTTGAAATCGGTTAATTTCATTCAGGATGGCAGATTTAACAGTGAGTCATAATGTGAATCTTTATTNGCAGCGTATTTACTAGCAGATTTGACAAGGAATCATAATGTGAGTCATAATTTCTATTTATTTTTTTTTTTTCAATAAATATTATTTTTTTTTTTTTTTTTGATTTATTATTAATTAATTATAATTTTATGGTTCAAAGACTTGTTTCTGTTTATTACAAAATGGATTAAAGATCCCTATTGCAGCATGTAATACTTTTAAATCAGGTGCCATAGAACAATTAAGAGTATATGTTGCTTTAGGTCAAAATTCAAATGTTGACGCGGATATGGAAAAGATGCTGCTGGGATAGCAAAGGATTGCTATTAATTACGGTGTATGTAAAATTGACTCTAACTCTATGGTGGAGAAATTTGTTACTGACATATATTTTTACATCTTTAGCCAAAACAAATAAATTTGATGTATGCAGGACAACGAACCATTAATGAGAGTGTACGGTACCGATCTTAATACATGTTGGTCTTTTTGTTAACTAATTTTAATTTATACTAATAGTTAGTTTCAATAGATAATCCCGACACAATTATATTCGCAATGAAGCCGTTGATCAACTTACGAATTTTAATTAAGCATTAGAAGATTTTTCTGGGTTACAAAATCCAAGACATATAGATGGAATGATGATGATAAGGTTTAGCGGAAATGTCCACGGTAATCAAGTATTAGTTTAAATTTTTTTATTTTGGAACGATGACTTGTACAACCGGACAACCGATTTATTCGTTTGGATTATTGGTGATCATTTATTAATGGCTAAATAATTGATATTTTTTTTTATCGGTTAATCCTTTGATACAATAATAATAACATGATTTTGCAATTTATTTTTTATATCTCTGATTTAATATTTAAATAATTTTTTTTAAAAAAAATTTATTATATATAATTGTAAATTTTAATTTAGCATACCAAGTAAATATATAACTTTAAAGTAATTTTTTTAAATAAATAATATAATTAATTGTATAAATAAAAATTAAAAATTAAAGAAAGAAAATTTGAAAGTCGGAAAATAATTTTCTGGATATATTTATAATTTTTTTATGTAACATGCAAAGGAATTAATTAATTTTAATTATTTTTTTTTTTACAGATAAAGCATGAATCAGATTATCAAGTAAATAATGAACTATAGTAAAATTAAACCAACGCAAAATAACATGCAGGAATTCTTTACTGTGTCCACGAAAAAGTTTAAGTATGGAATGATTGCCATTAATGCGTTTAATTTATACAATTTATACACGCGGTTTTGGACGTAACAGTCATAACACTTTGGGTGCTGTCAGATTACCTAATGTTTTAGGGAGGCTACAAATAATACTATATAAGGAATATAACATATCTTGTCTAGGTAATGTCAATGTGATAATCCTTGCTTATATAATCTCCTAAGTAATAGATTGAAACCATTATCTTAATGGTTACCCTACGGACACATCAGGAGTCAATTGTAACAATTGTAATAAGATCACGTGTTAGTGCATTAAAGTAGGATTGACGCGTATTTATGTGTGTGCCCGTGACGTTCCTGATGAGGGGGTTTTCTTATCTTAATATGAATCTACACTGATAAAATCAAATGATTGATTTGAAGTTTAAAATGAACCAATATTTGTGGCTCACGCGAAAAAAAAAAGTCCATTGTTGCGAAAAAATTTTTTTTTTTTATTTTTATTATTTTTATTATTTTTAAGTTTTTTTGTATTACGTCATCTTTGCCCTGATTGTTGGTCACCTGAAACGATTAAAATTGATTTCTTGCCCGACATTTTTACGATAAATAATTTGAATGACAAAAATGTCCAAGATAGACTTACTAAAATAATAAAATGATTTAAAATGTACAGTTTAATTTTATCATATTATAAATCGTCATTCCGATTTTCTCGTTTGCTTTGTGTACAATTGAGTTTGTACAATATCAAATTTGACACAAAAAAAAATTGATTAAAGGTAATAATAATATAATATAATAATAAAAGCAAATCTAATCGAAATTTTAAAAAGCAAATATTATGCGTAAAAAATAAAAATATAAATAAAAAAATTTTTTTTTAATTATGCAAACGTGTGGTGTGTTTGGTAAATAATACATACCACATAAATTTAGTCATAATAAATTAATTATATCCTATCTCTCGCAAATTAATTTTCGCTTTGGGAAAACAGGTATAACTTTTTTGTACCACTCACTAAATAAGAAATGAGATAAATTCCACTATAACTGATAACAGTTGAAATTATATAATTTAATTTAATATAAAGCTATCTTAGTTAAAAGATTAGGCTTCATACAATTACATACTGTACATTGATACAATTGATATATGGGTGTACTGAAAAATTGACATTGTGATATTTATAAATATTTTTTTTGCAATTTAAAAAATATTTACGTTATTAAATAAAAGATTATGTATATTATATATAATAAAAATTATATATAAATTATATTGTATATAATAATAAAAATCATTTCTTTTATATATATAATAAAATATATATTTAGAAACTTTAGTAAATAAATTTTTTTTTTTTATACCGACCAATGATATAGTAAAAAGTGAGAAAACGCAGAGGATCAGTTAATTTTTATATAAAATAACCCTCTTGGCGTCTAACTCAAATATTCAAAAATTACTTTATTTCCTGCTTTCATGACTTTTTATTTCATATATTTTTTATTTTCTTTGAAAATTAAGTAGAAATTCTTACACTTTTCTTTCCCAAATTATCTTTTAAAAGTCTCTTTTTTATATGATATATATTTATGTATAAATATATAAAAAAGAGACTGCAAGATTATTTTTAATTCAGTTCTCACCTTGAAGAAAAAAAAAAGAATTTAATAAACTATTTCGAGAGAACATTTCTAAATTTATTTCAAGAAAATTTAAAAATATATAATTTTTACAATGGATAATCCTTCAAAAATTCCATGCGATAACTTAAACACTTCTTGCGACTTTTCAGATACAACTTTTAAAAATCCATCGTCCTACGCTAGTTTTGCTATTCGTAGACGCCGAAATCAACGACGGTTAAGACATGAAATTACAATTAATATGTATATATTGAATCGCATAAGACGATTACCTATGCAAAACACGAACGATTTATTTACAAATCAATTTTTTAATGGATCTACTTTCCCCTAAAGAGTGATCCAATCGCTTATTAATTATCTTCGCATACGTTTCGAAATCGCAAAATCTGAATATATGGCAAATTCGAACATCTCAAATATCGTTGGCAAACCTATTCACTTTTCGAAGTTAATTTCATTTTATCGATCCAATAATATTAACGGCAAAATTTAAGTTCGATCATTCATTCGTTAATAATGATCAACATTTGTATTATTTCGTAACAAATATTATGTCAATACACAATTTATTATTGGCGAAAAATTTTTATACTACTATTATTAATATGAATTGTTTGTATACGTAATATATGTTAAAACTTTTTTTTTTTTTGGAAAATTATTTTATTTTTTTAATATATTTATTAGTGTATTAAATGTTTTACGGGTTATCAGTTTATCATTATCGCGTAAATGTGTCCTTTGCGTTTTTATTTATTCATTCATTCATTCATTTATTTATGGAGCCACGTTAAACTATAAAAAAAAATAAAAAATAAAAAATTTATTTATTTATATTATGAAAATTTTTTTTATTATGATAAAAACTATTTACCATAGACTTTATTAAATTTATTAAGGATTCCACTATTCTTAAACAAATAGTGAAGTTCTTGTCTTTATCAGAACTCGATGAACTAGAATTAAATATGGATTTTGATCAGGTAGACTATTATTTGATTGTACAAATGGTAGAAATGATCGACATCACAAATCACGTGAATGTGACATTTTTCTGTGATACTGAGGAAGTTATATTATCCGAAGAATTTTCTATTGTTGCGCACATCTATCCACTTACGTCACATTGTTTATGACGTTTTCGTTTCATAGTTACATACCTAAAAGAGTAATTTATACTGTACGCCAGTATTATGCCAGTTACTAAAAAGGTTTTGTACACGGTAATAAAAAAGACGTACGATACTCTACAAATTTATCGCCTGATATTCCAAAATTATCAATATATAAAGGATACGAGAAACTTGTTTTAAAATCATTACTATAAGTTTTAAATTATGTGGGAGTTTGAAACTATTAATCCAATAAAGCACGTTCTGAGGATCAGTGAAAATCCATCTTCTATGAACAAATGGATAACATTAATCACAGTACTCTCTTCATTGTTAGAAGCAGTATTACTTCCAGTATTAATTTCTCTGACATGGATAGCTATATACAAAATAAAACGTAGAATGAATGGTAGTGAGTTTAGATTATGCATGCAGGCTACTCATGGCAATATGTTTAAGCTTTTCACGGAATTGATTCCTAGACATAAAAGGTTATCAATGATAATGTTTGGATTTATTATATTATTGTCTATAATGATCATATTAGGGAAAAATATACCAAATGTTTTGCTTGCACAGGTTATTGGGTTATATAACTTCACAGAAATTTCACATATAAATGTGAATTTGTTTAGAAACGATTCGAATTGCACGTATACGTCATGTCTTTCTGATTTAGATGAAGAAAATTTTGCGTTGGTTAAAAATTCTACTACATTAAAAAATACTTTGCGTATGCATAACGTGAAAAACACTTATTTGAATTTAAGTGTTGATAATACTTTGTATGCAGTACGTGTCAAGATCAACACTACGTCATGTGGGTTTGCATTTAATGATTATAATAAGTCTAAGTCAATATCTAGTCAAAATATGGATAATGTGACGGATACAACTTTCATACCTACATATGTTTATGAATTCTTAGTTGACACATATAGATATTTTAATGGTTTAACGGCTTACCAATCAGAAATTGGTTTTAATATCAATATACAAGATAGATGTGATATACCTTTTAATATGTTGTATATTTCTCCCAATTTTAACCCCAATGTTACAAAACTGGGTAATTTGATAAAAAGTCGATTTGATGTAAATCGGTCAATTGGACGTACGTGTCGAATGTCTTTTGGTTGTAGTGCAAGTGTTGAATGGAAAAACATGCAAATAGTTGGAACTACGCCAGATAATATAAAATTATTGAAAGTGGATTTTAATAACAGCTTATACAAACTCGAGGAATTATTTTCTACCAATGTGCGGGACTATAGAAAGGTTGGAAAATGCTTCGGAGAAGGGCTTATGGATAACACTTTAGATAAAATGGTTACATTTCTAACAGATTGGAGAGAAATTATAAAGTACAAAGGAGGTAAATACAATTACAACCTTTTAAACGAATTTGAAAATGTATTATCACAATCATTGGTATCATCAGTGCAATCTATGACGAATGATATCAACGTTTACACTGTTCAAGCAAAGAAATTGGAAGCTCCGGGAATTTGGATAGAAATGACTATTTTATCATTAGCAATATTTTTTGTTTGTAGTATTTTAATGTTAATCTTGACAACCAGAAATGTAAAAATGTTGCTTCCACTTAGTGTATTGGATCTTGGAATCATAACTAATGTTATATTCAAGGAAGATGGTTCTAATACAAAAACTTCTTGGCCATTTGAACTTGATTCTTATCAAGATGAGTCTACACATTTACTTACGGCAAATGAAATTAGTTAATAAAATAATTAGTCAGTGGTATTTAAATAAATTCATATGAGAAATACTATTATAATAACAGGAGAAATTATTTATTTATTGTAGTCGTATAAAATTCGAGAATGAATAGTAGATATAGTTAATTCTATTTTATAATAACTAGTGCATTCTTTTTTGAATCCCTTTTACTTCATATAAGATTAAATAAAAAACAAGTATCGTATAGTATCACATGTATGCTATGTATGGTAATGATTTCATACATAGTAGCATACATGTGACACCATACATGCATTATACATCGGTATTAAATAGTAATGGCGTTCAGGGATTGGATTTATTCAGGAGTAAATATGAATCTAAGAGCATTATAAATACTGAAAGAGTTTACGATAAGAATGATCGTTTTGGAAAGAATAGATATGAACATTTTGATGGAACAATTACAAATCAATTTGCCAATTTGCAAAATGCCGGTTACATTTATATTTTAATGAAATGGAGACCAAAAAACCCATTCATCCAGAAGCAGTTTATACTAGCCGTTCGTTTAGTTATAAGAGTTTACAGGATGAGATTGATATTTTTCTAAGTCGAAGAAAAAGCAACCAAAAAAGTAACCAAAAAAGTAACCATCTATTGTTAAATAGGTAATATCTGAATATTTTAATCAGTTTTTATCTCAATGTCGTAATCGAACATAAATCCATAATATATCAACATATACTTTTATCCTTAATGAAGATATTTGACGTTAAGTTCTTTTTTTATTTGATATAATTGATAATTGATGTTACATTATAGATAACTTCGAATAAAAAATTGTGTACGCATCGCAATCTTGCCACAGGTTTATAGTTCTAATGGTAATTGATTTACGATGAAACTATAATTTATCTATTTTAAAAACATACAAGGTAGTTTTCTCGAAAATATAAAAAATATTAGATTTTTAAGCAATATAAACAAGAAAGATAGATAACCCTTACCTTGATCGCATAATAAGCATATTCTTCTTCTGAGAGTTTTAGTGGAGCAACTTCTGGAACACAACTAGATCTGTAATAAACATTATCTATTAGTATATAATAAATTCATGAATTATGAATGATAATTATTAGACTTACAAATCATTTAAGTTCAAACTTCCACCATTCATAAAAACATTTCCATTAATTAAATTTTTGTGGGTTGCATCATGAAGAGATGATGAAACCTCAAATGAAAGTGAAGATTCATTTAATATATAATGGTTGGAACTTGTTATCTTTTCACTTTCTCTTTGTGAATATGGGGTATAGGTATGGAGAACAAAGCACAATGATTGATAATAATGCTTTGAATATAATGAGAAAAAAATTATTAATATATTTTGATATAAATATTTTTGAAACATTTACAAAACTTCATAGAGATTATCATATATTAAGCCTTCCTTCTCCACCGACCACCCTCTTGATAACTTCTTTTTGATATTGTTGAAATCAATCAGCCACGTTGATAGGACTCTGCTTATTCCTAATAAAGGTTTTCAGGAAAAATTTCAAATTTATTTACTAGTAATTTTACCTTACTCCAATTCTTAATATTATTGGTTAATTGATTTAAAAAGAAAAAATCATAATAATGCAGTGTAATGTTTCCTTTCTTAGATATAATTTATCTATTTACAGTAGGATCATCAAAATTTTTTTCTTAGTGATTTTACCTCAGAGTTACAGTGACCTTTATTATAAGTAAATGGAATCTTACATTGATGTAACCAACTTTCCACTTAAAAACAGAATCAAATTTCAAGATATGTAAAATAAAAGAATAAAAATTGACATGTATCATACCTTGCAAATTGGTTTACACTCTAATTTTATTGAAATACTTAATAGGTTAAACTTGATTTCTTCGTCAACTTCATCACTTCCACTAGAAGAGGAAAAGTCAGAGGAAGACTTCTTGCTATTTCTTAATTGCGGATGCTTCACACTATAAATACTCTTTATGGATTTTTTTACCTAAATATAGAAAATGTACATGAGCTTTTACATTTTTGTAACTTTTACTACCTATAATTTTTTACCTTTTTACATGTAGAAACGTCTTCTATTTCATTTCCTTATTTATTAGGAGTTGGCAATTTTACACCTTCACTTAAAATTTCTTGCAAATATGCATACTGTTTACAGAAAAAAAAGAATTGAAGCAAATAGAACTTTGATATTTAAACATACTATTTTCAATGAAAATTATCATACTTCTTCTTCAGATACTAAAAAACAGTTTACTTTTAGAATCATTTGTAATTGTTTTTTGGATTTCATTTATTTTAATAGTAGTAAACTTCAAATTTACAAGACCTTCAGTATCATTTGCATTACAGAAGAATATGAGTTGTGAACCTAAGGAAAAAATCCTAAATCAAAATTTTCTTTGAAGTCATGTGCTTCAGACTTGACCTGAAAAAGATTTTCACATTAGCAATTATTCAGTCTTTTGATTGCTATGAATAGTCAGAACATCATATTATTTGAACAATTTGTTTCAATATGAAATTGTATCTTGTCTTTCTCATCATCCATTTTGTTAGAACCTGTTTATTGCTTAATTTTTGCTGTTTCTTGGCTGAATTATCCTTTTTTGCAAAAAGAAATTGGACGATTTTTTTTTGAAAGGAATTTTAAAGAAATTATCTATCTCATAATTTTCATCATTATCATCCTAAAATATTAAAATGCAGAAATTAGTTTAATTAATTTTCAATTTTTAGTTAAAAATACACACTTCTCCTTGATCTGACTCTACATTTCTGATCTGTATGCATATCAAAAGAAGAAAAGGTGAATGACATTTTTGTGTTATTTACAAATTATATTCTTGTATTAATCTTCTTAATCCTCTTAGAAGAAGTTAATATTGTATTATTTAAAGTATATTTAAATGTGAATGATACATTAACAGGGAAAAAGTCTGAAAGCCCTTCTGAAATGAGATTTCCAACATTGTATTTTCTGGTTTTATCTAAAATATTTAGACTTTCAAAAATATGAATTCGTTTGACTTTTAACTGTTTTACATGTTAATCAAAATTGCAACATCTTGGCAAGAATGATTGATATAAGGCTTGACTTACTTTCTTTCTTTTATAAATCACTTCCTTTCAATAGGCTTGCAATCCTTTATTTAAACGTTCAAAATCTACCTGTTGTAGGAAGCATATTATGAAATTTAATAAAGAATTTAATAGTTAGTATACAAATAACAACTTCAAGTGAAAAAAATGCAATTTCATAATAGCAAAGGTCCAGAATGTAGACTGATTCTCTGATCAGAATGTAGATTGATTAGAAGTGCTATCAATATTACTTAAGTTAGAACATGAACTGAATACTCCTGATCAGAATAACGTGGACTGAATAAGAGCTTCCTTGGCAAACAAAAGAAAATATTACTTCTTCTTTAAAGTTGAAAAATTGTCTAGATTGATCTCTTCTGCTTCTTTTAAGAATTTGTGAGTCCAGGCAGGATCCTGCTTACTTATAATAAAGATTACTGTAAAAAATTGGCTCTTTACTAATAGTTTTTACTTTACTTTTTTCTTAAATTCTATTGGTTAATTAGCTAAAAAGGAAAAAAATCATAATAATGTAATATAAAATTTCCTTTTAAAGTAAGATCTGCAAAGAATTTTATATATGATTTTTACCTTAGGTCTGGGGGTAACCTATCTTATAAGTAAGCAGGGTCCTGTCCAGGTACTATCAAGACCTTCCACTCTTTTAAAAATGGTGGTGAAAAAAAAAATTGTGTTACAGTGAAGTATCAAAAATTCGTAATATGACCAGTTTAAGTGCTCGTTTAAGTAAAGATGCAAGAGCTGGGATTAGGTCAAAAGCTTTAGAAAAAAGTACTCAGATCGCAAATTAAGCCACAAATTTACCAAAGTAACCAAGATAGTATTCAAGTAAAGACATATTTGTAAAATATTAAGGAATACAGTTAACTCTCTTTATAGTCACATATTTGAAACAGTTCATATTTGGTGATTATAAAGAGATGTGACTATATAAAAAATTTTTTATATTAGTATATCATAATTCTGGCCAAAAATTAACATAATTTTAGCCAAAATTTAGTATTCCGCATGAATTGATTTATGACACGGTATGACCCTGATTGCTTCTTATTTTGCGAATAACTTTTGATCTAGCGATCTGATTTCAATGATCTTTTTTTTTATTTTAATCAGGCAATGAAACTTATCAATTAAAAAAAAGATCATCAAAATTAGATTACTAAATCCTGAGATAATAATTTTTGAAGGTCGAATTGAGTCTGAATTGAATTCGAATCAAATCGAATTTCAGAAGAGAAATTTGATTCATGCAGAACACTACTAAAATTATACTCAAAACTTTATTGTATCATAACTTTGCCAATATTAATTGTAGAGAGATGATTTTACCTCCATTCGATTCGTCTTGATGAGATGATTCTAATGGTATAAAATACATCAAAATCCAATTACTAGATTAATTTTTGAAATTAAAAAAATATTAATGGTTTTTGTGTAATAACTCTGCCAATATTGATCTTAGAGAGACGATCTTACTACCATTCGATACAACTTGATGCGACAAATCTTATGATATAAAATATATCGAAATTGCAATTACTAGATTAATTTCCGAAATTAAAAAATATTAAATGGTTTTTAAGTAGTAGCTCTGTCAATATTGATCACAGATAGATGAGCTTACCACTATTCGATTCGTCTTAATGAGGCAATTCCAACGAGCTATTAATTGTCTTTTTACAATTACTAGGTACTGAGAGATTTAGCAAAATGTTAAATAGCGCAGTAAACATAAATCAAGAAATATAATAATGCTGATGCTTAATATTTTGTTGAATAACTTATCAGCCAGTGATCGTAAAAGAATAAAACTAGGAGGTCACCCTATCCCAGTGGTTAGTCACTAAGACCCTCATTAAGCCTGAATATGGTGAGGTTGCAGGTTCAATTCCCATGACTATGGAAATAAAAAGAATTTTACTGCGAACGCTACAACCAATAGCGTGAAGGTACAGGAATTAGTGTAGTTGGACTGCATCATGGTGAATTAGTGTGTACAGTTAGGCCGCACATTTCAACTAAAGGTCATAGTGTCCTTTTAATGTTTCCTATGAGGCCATTGACATATGTGCAGTCCTGTCCTCGAGGTTACTACTATACCTTGAGGAGACTTCCTGTCCAGATGGTCACTCCACAATACCGCTTAGAATCAGTAATGGCTAGATGGTCATCCTAAATGGTAAAGCTGAAGGTGCAATGTTTTAGTGGTAGTTTGACCTTCTGTTAAGTCTTAGAGACTTAGACCAACCAAGATGTTCGTACACAGAACAGGTAGCATGGTTATGAGGTTCGATTCCCCACTTCTTGGATCCTGGTTGGTGATCTCTGGTAGTTGATACCCACCATAAAGGATGATTCTGGACAGATGCGCGCAGATTTTTAAATAAAAAACCTTCAAAATACCTCAGCAATTTTTTACAGTAAAAATCTGCGTCACAATAATACAAATTAATTTATTGCATTAATTACTAATTTATTAATATAATCAAAATTACTTTTTTATTATATATTTAACAAGTTTACAAATACAATTGAAATCTATTACAAGTCATTGCTATTCATCATCTCTTTACTGCACATTCACATGTTGTTAATGGTTTGGAACATTGTTCCAGTTGGTTTGATTCTAACAAACAATTAGCAAAATGGAAAAAAAATCTATACAAAAATAAAGGAAAAACGAACATTAGTATAAAGTTCGTAAAGTTCGTTGAAAAAAAAGTAAAAGAAATTTCAAAGTAATTACCTTGAAGATTACTTTAAAATTTTGTTCAGAAATCCGTCTAATGTCGTAAACTTAAAAAAATTGAACGTTAGTTAATGTTCATCAAATAATTTATTAAAAAAATAAACTTTTGAAGATTTTACCTTCAAAAATGAGTCTGGAACTATACTTTAGTGTTCTGGATCTACAAAATATAAAAACGAACGTTAGATAACATTCGTTAAATTAAAAAAATTAAAGAATTTCAAAGTTTACCTTTGAAATTCGCGTCTGAAAAGCCATGGGCCTACAAAACCTATAAAAAAATACAAATAAAATGTTAGTCAACGTTTCACTAAAAAAATTAAAAACTTTCAAAAATTATACCTTCGAAATGATGTTCAGAGTACTTTCGGTGTTCTGGACCTACAAAAAATAAGAATGAACATCAGTAAACGTTCGTTAAATAAAATAAAAATTTAAAATTTTAAAGTTTTACCTTCAAAATTCCATCCAGACAGAAACAGGAGAGCTGAAACCCTAAAAAAAAGAGAAAGACGAAACATTAATAATGTTTCACTAAAATAAAACAAAAAAAACAGAATTTTAAAGTTTACCTTTGAAATTCTGTCTGGAAGACTACAAAAGAGAAGCCGAAACGTTAATAAATGTTTCGCTAAATAAAAATAATAATAAAAAATAAACAGAATTTCGAAGTTTACCTTCGAAATTCTGTCCAAGAGCGTCCAGAAAGCTGAAAATCTACAAAAAAAAAGAAAATTGAAACGTTAATAACGTTTCTTTTAAATAAAATAAAATAAAAACAAACATTCTGATAAAATTTTTTTAAAATAAAATTTCAAAACGTTAAAAAACGTTTTGTTAAATAAAAAATCGAAACATTAAAGAACGTTTTGATAAAAATAATTAAAATAAAAAAAAGAAACGTTAAAAATGTTCCGTTTAAAAGTTAAAAAAAATCAAAACATTTAGTAATGTTTCGTTTAGAAATTTTAAAATAAAAAAATTTCAAAACGTTAAAAAACGTTTCATTAAAAATAAAATAAAAAATAAAATTTTTGAAATGTTAACAAACGTTTCGATAAAACAATTAAATTAAAAAAATAAAATTTTAAAACGTTTAGAAACGTTTCGTTTAGAACTGAAAGTAAAAATAAAAAAGTAAAATTTTGAACTTACCTTCGAAATTTTAAAAAAAACTTCGAAGTTGGATGAAATTACTATTTTTGTTTGTCCTGTACTTTGAAATTTTCAGAAACTTTGTAGGGCTGGAGTCCCTACAAAAGTTAGTCTTTTTTAAAAAAAATTTTGTCTTTTTAGTTAGCTTCGAATAAGGTTGCTTGTTTAAACCTCTTCAAAATCCTACGATTAGTTTTGTCAAAATTTTACTATAGATTTATTATAGTTTCAGTAGAGTTTCGGCAGTTTCAGCATTTATAATAAGTTTTGGCAGTTTTACCTTTCTCCAAAGTTTCGCCAGTTTTTTAATATAACTTTAATATAGTTTCAGCAGAATTTCACTTTTCAGCGAAACGCCATCTTGCCTAAACCCCTAGGTTTTGGCAAGCAACCTTAGCTTCGAAACTTTTTAAGAGAAAAAGATTAAGTTTCAAACTTTATCAAATAGTTTAAATAATGTCTAAATTCGGCTAGTGACTGATCATCTCACATGACAGTTAGAGTTAATCAAAATGATAAAATTGCAGATTGATGAACTGATATTTCAATGAAAAATAAAAGTAAAAATCTGCAAAATCGCAGACTTCTGCAAAAATTTACATAAAAAGAAAAGCAGAAATCTGCAAAATCGCAGACTTTTGCATAAATTCACATAAAAAAAAGCAGAAATCTGCAAAATCGCAGATTATTGCAAAATTTTGTAAAAATTAAAAAGTGAACTTAGTGAAGATCTGCAAAATCGCAGACTTTCACATAAATTCATATAAAAAATGCAGAGATCTGCTAATTTTACAAATCTCTGCAGTTCTGCATTTTAAAAAATTTTCCGATGAAAAAAAAAATGAAAAAATGCTAAACCTGATGTTTTTCATTAAAAAAAACAAAAAAAAAAGTTTTTTAATAAAAAAATATTGAATCTGGCATTTTTTTATTAAAAGAAACATAAAATAATGTTTTTTTTTAAACATCAACAGATCAGGTTAGATAGAACCCGTTTACTTATAATAAAGATCACTATAGAAAATTGGCCCTTTACTAATAGTTTTTACCTTACTTTTTTTTTAAATTCTATTAGTTAATTAGCTAAAAAGGAAAAAAATCATAATAATGTAACATAAAATTTCCTTTTATAGTAGGATCTGCAAAGAATTTTATATATAATTTTTACTTTAGGCCTGGGGGTGACTTATCTTATAAGTAAGCGAAGTCCTGGTTAGATACCTGATTTGATTTGATATAAAAACATTTTGGCGTAATATATGAATGTATAAAAAAGTGTTAAAATGTTCTTTTCTATAAAAATAAAACGTTCAGCATTTTTTCTTATATTTAATATAAAAAAATGCTTAAACATTTTTTTTGGCCCAAAATATATCAGGTCAACTAGTGGTCAACTAACAGGTCGAGTATTTAAACCGATCTGTGATATTTGGATTAGATCATTAAATTAATGACTCACCTCAGATCAGGTTAAGCCAATTACCTGATGCAACCTGACTTATTATGTAACTCTGATCGTGAACTTTACTCTCCATAATTTTCTTCACAGTTTTCTGAATTCTAAAATCATCTAATCGTCTCTGCATGATGAACTGGTATTCGTTTGAGCGATTGATTAGCAAAAATAACAATCCAATCATGATAAAATAGTCCAAAATGTAAATTTTCTACAATTTGGCAAGCAAGAAATAAGCATTATGGCATATTTTTTACCTTTACCCATTGTTTTTATATATTAAAGTATAAGATTCTAAAAGACAAAATAATCAATAAATTGCCATATGCTGATCTCTACTTTGTATAAAGATTACGAATTAATAGCGTTTCAGTGAAATCAAGAGAATTACCGGCAGTACATACCCATAAGGCACCTTCGGGTATAATAATTTTTTATTAAACGAAAGCTTAGTTCTATTTCCAAATTATAAAAATAGCAGATAGTAAATAGTAATATTCTATAAATTCACGAATATGAAATTCCATTTAGGAATGAGCCATCGAGAAAGATTATAACTGTGCGTAATTATTTTTATCTGTATTGAAGCAAGTCGTATTTGGACCACTTCTTGTTAAAACAATAATGAAATAAAAATAACGATTTATTTAGAAAATCTTGTAATTATATAATTTTTTCATCTGTTATTAATGCCAACATCATATTACTTTGCCATTATGTTATTTTTTTGATTACAAAAATAATAGTGATCATCAGTTCAGAAGACTTTATTTTTGAATATTATATGCTATAGTAAAAATACTATTAGTAAATTGCGTAGTCAAAGAAAAATTTTCCACTAAGGAATTAATGAATTTTGGGGACACTGAATTTAGTCAACCAAAAAATTATTAGTAAATCTGATCTCATATACTATAACAAACGAATTTTCTGATATTGTAAACTGTTCTGATAGATTCTTTTCTATATTAGGAAAACTTAATGTTAATGGAAAGTACAAAACCTCACTGATCCCAGTTCAATGTTATTAGGGCTATTGATATGCATAATTTGTTACTCGCTATATATGATTATTATTTGACTATTAATCAAGAAAATGAATTATATTTCAGAATTATCTGATGGTCAAATCTAAATTACATGATGACATGGTAAACATGGTAATTTAATAAGAATATTTGTAATTATTTAGAATTTACATGTTAATGATATGTAATTTTTATTGATAATTTTTATACAAATAATTTGGATGGGCAGAATTATACAAATTATACAGAAAATTGATGGAGATGATCAAGAATGAGTGATTAACTATAGAATAATTAAAGAATGAGTGAAATGAAGAATAATTTTAAAGAATGAGCGATTAAGAGTGAGTGATTAAGTAAACATAATTGAAGGGTATAATACTGTATCATCTCATCCTAGCAGCTGAATATAAAGTTTGATAAACTTGGCTTTTTTTATAACAATTTTATACCCAAGTATTTAGCAAGACGCTTTTGTCTTGCATCGAGTCCTCCAGTTACTTGTAAACCATAAAAGGCTAACAGAGTATCTAAATTTTGACCTTTAATTAAAAAAAAAAAGAATATTTTATTAATTAAGAAAAAAAAAGAAACCCAATTAAATTACAGATGTACAAGTGTACAGACCAGTTAAACCACGAAGATTCCGGACGTTAATAGGGAATGGATTAGGATATGCATTTTGAAAATTGGGAAGCGCGATGATGGCCTCATTTTCACTAGTGATACGTGAATTGACAGATCTGTAATAGGATCGCATATCTCTAAAATAATGAAAAGGATATGTTTATCATGTTACAATTTTAATAATGTAGCATAATTTTTTTTTAAAAAACATACACAATCTGGATGTTTTGCTGAATTGTTGCTAAAGTCATTTGCATAGTTTGCTGCATCGCAGTCATATTTTGCATATTTTGCTGCATCATAGCCATATTTTGCTGCATCGTAGTCATATTTTGCTGGATTACATTTAAAGTCTGTTGTATATTTTGCTGACCAGTCTGTAGAGCTTGAATAACATTCGCATTAGGGATATTTTGTAGATATGATAGTTCCTGTATGATTGTTTGAAAAGCCTGGTTCATTCTGTTAAAGTTTGGTAGTGGTGGTTGTTGTTGTGGTGGTTGTTGCTGAGGTGGTGGTTGAGGTTGTTGTGCCTACAAAATACAAAATGATAAGTCTTCAACAAGGAGATATTATAAAATATTTAGTTCTTTACCATGATAACAGTATTTTATGATCGTGAATCGTGTAAAACAGAAAAATAATTAATATTTTACTTGTATTTATATTGCAAGCTTTTACTTTTTTTTCTAATGACTGATGATTGATTTGATTCATATTTAATTGTTTATCACGTTTTATTTGATTTTGTGTAATTACTTGTTTTGGAATAAAACGTGCATGAGAAAATTATTATAATCATCAAGAAAAATGTCACGGTCCCTATTGAGTACACAGTGATGTCCGTAATTGCTCTTAACATCGACGTATTTTCTTTTACATTGTCGTAATTTAGTGATATAAATCACAGATATAATCTTCGTCTTTGTACTACGTGAAACAAGGCAACTGCGACCTTGGGTCACGGTCTCGTAGTTGTGAATAGATTGTATCACATAGAACAACGTGAAAAGATATAATTATCATACTGCGTATCTCTAACATATAATTTTTTCTTTACTAACTGTTCATCTTTATATCATTTATATCACGAAAATATAAGAAACGATTAACTACCCCAAGAGCACCCAGAAAATTCTTCGGCACGTGACTTTGGCCGGACATGGCGGAGAAGGTCCTTGGACATATTATCTGGTTGTTGGAAGAGTCACAAAAGGCGGACTCAGCTGTTAACGAGAAGATAATAAAAAAGCATAGATCATCGAGCAATCTTGCAGAAAATTCAGATACTGTAGTTACGTCTTAGGATAGAAATTTCATATATCGCGGGCAAAGTCCCGAACCTTTGTATTTATTTTTCACATGTATACCGAGCTTCGTCACGAACTTTTGTATTTTGTATTTTAATAAAAAAATTCAGCGAACATGTTCGCCAAAATCATGTGATTATTTTTTTTTTCCCGAATGTTATTCTATGTATTATAGGCTGCGCCATGTAATTTATTTTTAGTATTAACGTTTATAAAAAATTTTCCTGACCATTGGGCAGAATGCCACGCGAAAGTTACATTAAGGTTAATAATGAAATCATTTACTAGAATTGAACTAATGAAGTGATAACCCGTATTTATTTTACAGCAATGTATTTAGAAAAAAAGTAAAAATAATATTTCAAAAAATACAATTATCCTATAAACACGAATCTCGCTTAGCTAATTCTAATAAATTACATCGCTCCCTACATTTTAGCCCTGCAAAAGAAAATTCCATAAGAAAATTATTTATAATCAATCCGATCTTAAATACTTTCCTCTTACCTTTTTTGATGTACTGAAATTCAGAAGAATTTTTACTATAACGTTTCATTACTCCATTTAAATAGTCTATAACATCTTTTGGCATACTTATGTAAAGATAACTTATTTTCATAGCTAAATCTTCGAAATCTTCGATTTTACATCTCTCTAAGTTATTGCATTCAATAAATTTAAGTATTTCTAATTTTCCTAACTTTTTAATTGTTTCGTTTATAGGTTACAAACTGAATAATTACGAATCCTTATTTGTGTTTGTTTCTTGAGGATCGCAGTAGATAAGTCACAATCTTCAAAAATGTCGAGATCACAGATATCCGTAGAGATTATATGATCAAAACTTCAGTTTTACAATTTCTACAATTAGCTGTTAATGTTGAATCAAGACTAAGACGGCAACATTTTAAATAAACGAGATTTGAACCTTCCATGGCAGCCTTAACTAACTCTCATTTGGAACGAAGATCCTCTATATCGAGGTATTTGATACAATTTAGATAATTTAAATTAAACATCGAGTTCTCATTAACCGTTACATTGAAACCATGATGCATTATGTGACTTTTTCGTTCAGGAGGTAAAAACTTGAATAGTGCCGTCAAAAACCCTTTCACGTTTTTATTATTGATCTTTAATGGACTTCCCCATAAAACGCGAAGAGCCTCAGAAGCCCAGATTGTATTTAAAAGACAACGTGAAAGCAAGATGCGGAGATTGTCGGGATCTTCCGCTAATATTAGAAAGAATTTTATTAACTGCAATATCATAATATATATAAAAATATATATATATAATAATAATATAATATAAAATAAAAAATATAATAATAATATAATATAAAATAGGTATAAAATAGGAATATATATATATAATAAAAGAAAATAAAAAAAAAATATAATAAAAGGAAATAAAAAAAATAATATATAATAAAAGAAAATAAAAAAAAAAATATATAATTAATAATAATATAATAAAAAAATATATATAATAATAATTACTAATGATATACTGGTAGTTATTCTGCAATGATTATTTTTTCGTAATAATGATGATAAAAAAAAAATATACAATTTTTTTTTTTCACAATAGTTATCATTTATATCATTATATGCTTCCTTTTAATTTTAATACAAATCTTTTATGACCCATAATAGTATAATATCCGAAAAATCCGAACAGAGTTTAAGCTTAATCTAAGAAAAATAGTACACGTTAATTCTTCACTTTTTCGATGGATTATACAGTATGTGATCAACAATTATTGAAAATGACGCAGCTCTCGATTAGGAAAATGATAAACTACTTTTATACTTTCAGTTAAACTACAAGTTTAAAACTATATAATTTTAAGATCCCTAGCTTTTAATTTTAATTTTATTTTTATGCATAATATTTGATTATATTTGTTTTTACTACTATTATTATTATCTGTTATTATTTATTTTATTTTTAATTTGTACATTAAAATGATTTTTCTCCCGTACAAAAAATCATATCCTAATATACTGTATATCTACACTGCATGTGTAATTTATAAAATAAAATGATTGATTGTATTTGTGGCTCAGATGCGAAAAAAAAAAAAATTTTATTTTTGGTTGTTTTTTTTTGTTTACATCATCTTGCGCATATTTTTCAAATACCCGACTGAATGGCGATTGCAACAAAACCACTTTACCCCATTTACCCCCAAAAAAATCAATTGATTTATTATTGATATTACTTTTTTTGTTGCCCGGTTGCCGGTTGCCTAAAATAGTGGTCGGTTAAATTTGATTTCTTTTTTATGCCTGATTGACATTTGACATTTTATAATTAAATTAACTAAAATAATTTGACTAAAACTAACTAAAATAATTAAAATGATTTAAATGTACAGTTTAATTTTTTTTGGAACTTACTTATGAGGAAAACAAGAAAACCTCCTTCCAAAAGGAAAGTAACACTTACCCTCAAACAATATACTAGAATGCTTTTCCCTTTCTTTGTCATAATAATAATTTTAATCATAAATCGTCACTCTGATCTTCTCATGTACATGTAGTATGTGTTGGACCAAATCGGTTAAACGATATTATGATATATACCTACGATGTTGCTTTTATCTTTACCGTATAGTTTTTTTACACTATACTTATATACTATACACCATCGGAGGACGGAGATATATATCATACTCAATAACTATATTACAAATCAAGTATAACTTGTTTACCTAATCTCTGTTTCTATTGATATATAATTTCGGAAATAATAAAATGGATTACGTATATTGTTCGGAAATTTTGTTGGTAATATATAATATCCACGATTTATATATCCAGTACTCACCACAGAACATGGGACTAATGGGAACAAATTTGAGCGTATTAATTAATAGCATCACGGGATCAATGATCGGGGATCAGAGAATATATTATTTTAATTTAAATAAATTTCAGAAATTTCAAGGATGATTTTTTTTTAAATGAGATTTTCGTAAATGGTGTAAATCATCATTAGAATAATAAATGAAAAAAAATAGTTTCACCCGATGTATTGTTATAAAATTTATTTATTATTTAAAAAAAAATACAATAAATTAAAAAAATCAATGCAACACTCGCATTATTTTACGTGACTAACAAATGATTGCACATTTTTAATACATTTAATAACTAAAATCAATGAAAGGAAATATATATGATTAAAAAAATAAAATAATGTAACAATTGAAAGTCAAAGTATACGAAACATGTGCATATACCACAATCAGGAAAAAAGGTGAGGATTCAAGGTAGAGATGTTGTTCAACCTCTACTGATACTCCAAAAGACATCCTGATCAATCAGCGCATTCTCTCTGAAACCTATGATATGGGAGGTGTTGAGTAGAGTATCTGCAGCAGGCACTTGAGTCAAAACTCTGAGTGGCGCTGTTGCAATTTGTTCCATATGATTGCAGAAATCTTACCCAATCTAATCTCTTCCAACATTTGATAGAATTCCATATCATCATTCTGGTGTTGAGGAGTCTTCAAGAAACCCAGAATTCTCTTAGTTCCTGATCACCTAAGTTTTCCTCAACATAGAAATTGTTATCAACATTTCTGACTGTCTTGGTGATTAGTCCTAAAATTATACCATTTAAACTGATCATAGGCATATTATCAAATCCCATATTATCAATCAACTTAACAGACATTGTGTTAACCTTTGATGTTTATAATTCATAAGAAAAAAAAAGTTAATCAACAAATTTTTATTAACTGCAAAAGGATATGTGCAAAACAATACATACACTAGTATACCAACTGGCATAAGTAATGAACTTTCCTTTTAAGAAATCACCTGGCCATTAGTAAAATCTTTGATCCAACATGAAATATTTGGATCTACTGGAATGAAGGTTTTTACTCTCAAATATACAATTTTTGTCAAATTATCATCATTCAATCTTGCAACAGCCATAATTTTCTTAACTGTAAACTCCTAAGTAAGCTGTTCAGTAAAATCATGAATATAACACATCATGGAGGTTTCTGTAGGCATATTCTTTTTTGTTAAAGGGTAATTAAGAGTAAAAAATTTTTTTCTCATTAACGTACTCATACTACACATATATATATTTTAAATTTTTGACATTTCCATAGCCAACTTCCCAATTCTTCAATACCCAATGCTCAACAGTAAACAAAAAGCCAGAGGCTCTATAATGTATGTTTAATTTAACTTTTGAAAAATATTATTTTGTTTTACTTTATGGGAAGATAGAATTTTTTATTTTCATTTTCAATTTACAAATAAGGGTAAATAAAAAAAAAATTTTTACTCATATTTATATACATTGCGTCATTTGAATGAATGAGCACAATAGGATATTATAATAACTGTGGTCTAAGGAGGTGATTAAGTCTCAATATTTCCTAAGAAGGTAACGAATAGAGATGCAAACAAAACTATGCCCAATTTAGTCTTATAGTATTAATTTAGCCAGACGAAACTGAGCGAAACTAAATATCAGCAAAAAATTTCTCCTTTTTTTATATTTGATAATATTCCAACATATTATAACATAATTATAATAGGTATACTCATTTTAAAAAAAACTATAGTTTTATTTTGCTTATAATAAAAATTTTATTTATTTGAAGAAGGTAAAATAGATAGTTTAGCTCTCACTTTTTCAAGATTAGATTTTGTTTGCATCCCTAGTAACAAACAACTATAATATCATTGCTAAAATTAGTCACTGGAGGCTTATCAATTATTAAATATGTTAAGAGACAGATCATCACTCAACCAGAGAAAATGATTGACATTCTATAATTAATTTTGTAATAATAAAAAAAATTTTTTTGGAATTTCTTGTTCTTTACTATAAATTGTTTTCCAATAAGTGAAAAAAAACAGTATACAATAACTTTTATGTCCAAAAAAAATATTTCATAAACTTGCACTAGTATAGTAGGTATACATATATAGTTTTAGTAGGAACTGTACAAGTTTAACAAAGAATGTAAATATTAAAAAGATTCAAATATAGCTAAATAAAGATTTAAAAACTAAATAAAAAACCAAATATAGCTTAGTTACAGTGAAAAATGTTCAAAAATTTTTTATCTAATATTTGAGTTAATAGGAAATTTACCATTAGAATCTTGCGTTCCTACATAGAAAAGTCAAAGACGTGAAACTCTAACGATTTCAAACTTTGCAAGTGGCTTAGCTAGGATTGTCATTATTAATTACCGTCTTTAAAATTTGTGTATCATATCACATGATGATATGACAATCTGGTAAAAAAGGAGTATTAGCTATTTTTAGCGATAATTTGCATAAATTGGCATTATTAAAATTCTCCAATTGAATGGCGATTTGTCTCTTAAATTAATTATTTGCTTTTTTTTTTTGACATGTAATAAATTCATTTTCGTAAAAAAAAATTTATTATTAATTAGGATTTTTCACCAAATTATTCCTTAAACGTACAAGTAGATCGCAATTTTTTTTTTCTTAAGTCCTAAATAATAAACAATTTTATTGTGGCTGCGAATTTGTTAAATTAGCTGTTGGGGCTTATTGATTACCTTTTTTCGGATTTAATTTCTTTTTTTTTTTCACAATAATAAATCATTTTCATAATGAAAATTTTTTTTTATTTTTTTTCACAATTATTTATTATTTAGGATTTTCACCAAATTATTCTTTAAACGTACAAGTAAATCATAATTTTTTTTTAATAATAAATAACTGCAGTTCGTTAAGCTTCAATATTTCCTTAATAATAAACAATTTTATTGTGGCAGGACCCCGGATATCTCCAAAACAGGTCATAAGTCACACTTTCGGCAGATTGGCCCATTTTTCAGGGCTCAAAAAATCGTTTTTTGTAAATATCTCGGCATCCAGTGGTCCAATTTTGATGAACATTTTTTTAAATTGTAGAGCTAAATGAGGGCTACAAAATAAAAAAAAGTTCATTAAAATTGAATTACTGGATGCTGAGATATTTACAAAAAACGATTTTTTGAGTTTCAGCAAAAAGGGGTGTTTTTGGCCAAAAGTCCATTATGACCTTTATATTAGATATCCGGGGTCCTATTGTGGCTGCGAATTTGTTAAATTAGTCGTCACTGGAGTTTATTGATTACCTTTTTTCAGATTTAATTTCTTTTTTTTTACATGTCATAAATTCATTCGTTAAAAAAAATTTCATTTTGCATTATAAATTTTTTTATTTAATTATTTAACTATAAATAAGACCCAAATTTGCAAGGTAAGTGGAGTGCTACTCTACTCAATAATGACTAATGATTAATGATTAATTAAAATTTCACCCATAGTATTTCCTTAAACGTATGAGTAGATCATTACCAAAAAAGAGTATTTGTTGCAAGTGTTTTAAAGATCTTTGTATGGAAACTTCACAGAGTACATATATAAAAATAAAATAATTATTTACTTAAATAATCTTTGCATTATAAGGTACAAATAATAAAATAGGGAAAATGTAGGACTTGTTTTCTATCCTACGATAAATATATATTTATAAATAAATTTTTTATAGAGGATCAAAAAAAATAATTTAATTTTTTATATAAATCCTCTTTGGCATCTAATGCAAATATATATAAATTCCTTTTATTTTCCTGCTTTCACAAATTTTTATTTCATATATTTTTTATTTTCTTTGAAAGTTAGTAGAAATTCTTACACTTTTCTTTTCTAAATTATTTTTAGAAAATTCTTTTTTATATAATATATATTTATGTATAAATATATATAAAAAAGAGACGGCAAGATTATTTTTGATTTAGTTCTTACCTTGGAGAAAAAAAAGAATTCAAGAGAACATTTTTAAATTTATTTCAAAAATTTTAAAAATATTTATAATTTTTACAATGGATAATGAATAACCACCAACAAATTAGGAACGTGCTCCTTCAAAAATTCTATGCAATAACTTAAATACTTGCAACTTTTCAGATGCTAGTTTTTGCTATTCATAAACGCCAAAATTAATAATGGTTAAAATATGAAAGCACAATTAATATGTACCATATATCGCGGGCTATAGTACCCCTATGCATAGTACCCTCTTGAAAAATTTCATAGAATTGTATAGTACCTGGGAGTAGACTTGGGTGCCGAAACCTATAGGTGCCGAAACATGTTTGGGATTTGACATATGCCGAAATATAGTTTCGGAATTTTGCCGAAATCCCAAATCCCAAATCCCAAACTACTGCCAAAATCCCAAACCATCGTCAGAATCCCAAACCATCACCGAAATCCCAAACCATTGCCGAAATCCCAAACCTTTATTTAAATCCCAAATAATTGCCAAAACCCAAAACCGTTTCCAAAATCCCAAACCTTTATCGAAATTCCAAATAATTGCCAAATCCCAAAACCGTTGCCAAATCCCAAAAGTATAATAAAAAACTAGCCAGTACTTTTTTCCCAGTACCCACGGTTTATATAGGACACGGAGAAGGTGACACAGTAGAATAATTCATAAAAGTTTTGGTAGTGATACCTACCAACATACTGTATCACTCAAACCCACTGGAGGCATCGTATCAAAGTCCTCACCTTAATAGAGGTCACGTTGATCTTATTATTTTATCAATCAAATAATAAAGTTAATGTTTAGTAATTCAGTAAAAGAAAAAAAAATATTAATTATTATAAAAACTTACCCTGCGCAGGCTACAAATTTCTCCTTTAAACATATCACATCCTCCTTTCAAAATCTTCAATCTGAGTCTCGATATTCTTGTCAGAAGGAATAAATGCTTTTATCTTTAAATAAATTATTTTTGTTGCATCATTCGGGTCCAACCTCGACACAGCCATAATCTCTTTAACCGTATATTCTTGCATAAGTCTTTCGTTTGAATCATGTATGTAGAAAATGGTAGAAATCTTAGATGGCATCTTGTTTTTGTAAAAGAAAAATTTTTTTTTTTTGTATAATATTTTCATAATAAACACTGAAAATAAAATAAATTAAATGGAAGAAGGGAGTTTTTTTAATTTATTTTACAATGTTAACCATATTATTTTTTTTTCAAATTAATTTCAAATTAAAATTTTTCGTTAGACTTCAATCAATAATATCAAAAAAAATTTCACGAGGCTTCAACAAATTTTTTTTTACTTCGCTATAATTTATACTTCCTTATACGGGACATACAATACAATTTTTTTTCGCAGGAATTATCAATTAACCCTATAACTCTACTTAAAATAGAAAAAAATCATATATTTCGTAAGTTAAAAAGCCAGTTTTAAAAAAAAAATTTTTTTTTTTTGACACATTTTTTAAGTGTTTGAAATGATAAAATTTACAAGATAAAAGTTAGTTTTTGAAAAAAAAAATGATTTTTTTTGAGAGTGAAAAAAAAGCCATAATCACATGGGACAATAGGTTAATATAATAGTTCATTCAAAATAAATCATATACCAGCCAAGCCACTTAATTTTCATATTCACAAGGGGTAAAACAAATTAAATCTACTGTACCATACGTAACATATTTATTTATTATTACAAAAAAAATGGAAAAAAATGGAAAAATAATATATATATGACACGCGTCCTATGGAGGGAGAGTGACGCGAAATAATATATAATCCAAACAGAATCGAAATAGAATAGATACCAAATCTAAGATCTAAGATATTAAATTCACATCGTTTTTCGTAATGAAAATTCAAGCAAGTGTTTTGATGATCCTAAGTCAGGAACCTCATGAGAAATCAATACCTTAAACAAATGTGTAGAATAATACACAAAACACTCAGGAAAAAAGTACCTCCTATTATTTATCCTACGATAAATACATGTCGATCTTCTAACGTTTGGATTAGCCTGTATAAATTAATTTTAAATTTCTGATCCGTATTCTTTATAGCTAAGACCCACTTGATCAGCAAGTCATGTTTTTATATCTAATCATCCAATTCCGGTTAATGAAATTATACTAGACCTATTTTTAAAATTTTATCCTTCTTTCAAACCGATTTGAATTCTTTCAGTTCCCTTTTTTTTAATTTTCATTTTTTTCCTTGAATCGATCTTTTACTTTCGGTTCTTTCTTTTTTTTTAAAATTTCCTCTTTTCATTTTCGAACCTTTTTCCTTTTTCTTTTCCTTTTTTTTAAAAAATTTTCATTTTTTTTCCTCTTTTTGGTTTGGATTTTTTTTTCAACCGAGAATTTTATTGGTTTTTTTCCCAAACTGAAAATTTTTTTTTAAATTTTTTTTTCAGTCTTTTTAAACCAGATTATTGTTCTTTTATTTCAGAATTTTTTTCGGTACTTATTTTTTTTTACGGATTCCTTTTTTTCGAAAATTTCCCTTTTTTTAAACTGATTTCTTTCTTTATCCTTTTTCTTTTCCCCCAAATTTTATTTTTCGTTTTTCTTTTTCCCAAACCACATTCTTAAACCATTTGATTTGGATCGGATTGACGCTGCGGCACCACGGTAATTGCGATTCTTATTATTATTATTAGTAATAATATTTTCCCTAATTATTTTTTAGGCTCAATATATATAAACTGACATATAATTTACTTATTTATTTATTTTTTGTAACAATAGATCGGTATAGTAAATTTTATGGGAAATTGTTTTTTTCATGACAATGGATCGTTATAATTGGGAAATATTTTTTTTTCATAACAATAGATTGTTATAATTGATTTTTAGGGATTTTTTTCATATTAATTAGTGATATATTTTTTGGGAACCGTCACCTGGGCGATCACTGCTTTTTCAAATATGTCACATGATGTACAAATTTACGATGGCTGATTTTTTTTTGATCGGTTAAAATTTTTTTGCATATTTATTCAAGATAATTTTATTTAAAAAATTTTATTTGCAAATATTAAAATTTAAGTCAAACATTTACGATTTTAAAGAAAAAAATCACCGTATTTATTTTTAATGAAGTGATACAAATAAAAAAAACAATAACAATAAAAAAAAAGATAAGTAAATTACAATGACCAAGGATAAAGATGCTAATAAAGAAAAATGAAATAACAATGGAGTAATGGAAAGTAATAGAAGATGAAAGGAAGTAAAAAAGAGTAATGAGAAGTGATAGGAAATAAAAAGGAGAAATAGGACATGATGAGAGACGAAGAGGAGTGATGGGAGACGAAACGAAGTGATGGGAGACGAAGAGGAGTGATGAGAGGTAAAAAGGAGTGATGGGAGACGAAAAGAAGTGATAGGAGACAAAAGGAAGTGATGGGAGACGAAAAGAAGTGATGGGAGACGAAAAGGAGTGATGGGAGACGAAAAGAAGTGATGGGAGGCGAAAAGAAGTGATGGGAGGCGAAAAGAAGTGATAGGAGACGAAAAGGAGCGATGGGAGACGTAAAAAGTGATGGGAAGATGAAGAGGAGTGATGGGAGACGCGTGTTATTATTACTCTCTTTATTACTCTCTTACTTGATAGGCAAGTATCATTCCCGCTGCAACGCAACGGGTTACGCCTAGTTATTTATATAAAAAACATCAAATAAAAAAAATATCTGATTGATCAGAAATTGGTCGGCATTCAGCAAAATTGTATACAATTATGCATAATAAATGAAAATGTTATTTATTCATTTTATCAAAAATTTATTATTACATTTACTAAAAAAAAATATTACTACACATTAAATCTTTCGAACATTTTTGCTAATTCTTCTGGATTATAGTCACCTTCTTCATCATATTCCATTAACAAATTGGTATAATCAACTGAATCATCATTTTCATCACATTCCACATAAGGTGTAGAAGCATCATGTAAAAATCGTGAATTGGACAAATTCAGAGCTTCCTCAAGTTCCAATGGTTCGTCATTAATGGCTTCTAAATCATCATCAATAGCAGTCTGTTCCAAATTAATTTCAGTCATAATTTCTTCCAAAGTTATTTCTTCTTCTTCTTCATATAAATCTGCATCTCTTAAAATTTGCTGAATCTCCTCTTCAGATTTTTCTACACCATAATGTGATAATTCAGATTTGTTATTAAAAATATAATAAGAATGGATCTGCGCAATTGCATCAAGATTTTTCACCAAAATTTTTGTACGACGTGTTCCATGGATCCAACCACAAACTGACCAAATACGCTCACAGTTAGCGGCATGTGGTGAAACGGAAAACATTTTAGTTGCAAGGTATTGAAGATGGTGGCTTCATTTCGCAAGTTTGCCACCATCTAATAGGTGTGTCAATATTGTAAATATATGATGGTAATTGCGCTATAAGAATTTCACCAGATTTTCGTTTACTATGCTTATTTCGTTTTACCATAGTTAAAATTTCAGGAATTCGTAACATTTGTTGCCATAATGCTACTGCTGTAGTACTAATACGCACAAATTGGCCTTCAACAATTCCAACGCCTATAACAAATAAAGTCAAATATATATATATATATATTAATAAAACTATAACAAACTATTAATAAACAATTAATTAATACTTGCCTCTATATCCTGGGTGCAAGTAATATGCAAGTAGATGTTCATCAAAATCAAATTCCTTAAAGCGCTTATTAAAACTTTTAATACAATGCCGACGAAACATTTTATGAACTGTTTCTGGAATGTTCTTTATTACTGCTCCTAATTTTGCAAGTAAAAAGAAACAGTCAGCAAGATTAGCTTCTTGATTTTCTAATAAAATAATTGATTCTTTTATTGGTTTAATAATCATCGCTAAATCCTGAACATCTTGAAAAAAACCTCGTTTGTGCATTATTATATTTTGTACACTTTTATTAGTGATTATACGAGGATTTTCAGTGATAACCTTTTAATAAAAACCAAATTAGAATAAATATTTATAAATTATAAGATTAATTATTTTTAATTAATAATATAATTTACCTCCTTTAAACATATTTCCAACCGAAAGATTGACTGAAGCATTTCAAAAGCCGTTACCCATCTTGTACTAACATACGTCTTTAAGCCTCCTCCTTTGATACTTTTTTCCTTAATTTTGTCTTCAAGAAGACTTTGAGGTAAATGGCTCTTTTTAAAATAGGTTGTTATCATGTTTGACCAATTTAAAATTCGGGTTGCAAATGTATGTTTTATAAAATCTTTGGTTATTAAATTTAGACAGTGTGCCATGCATTTGATATTAATAATATGAGGAAACTTATGAGTAATAATTTTTCGTGCTAAATTAACATTTGAACCAGAATCTGTCACAATAGCTGAAAATCTATTTGTTCCAATTTCATTTAAAACTGCTTCAATTTTTTGAGAAAGGTGTGGTTTTGATCTGATAAATCAGATATTTGCCAAAGAACATCCTTGCCATCTGGGGTATGTATGACAAAATTTCATAAAGACTTTCCTGCTGGACTTGTCCATCCATCAATCGCTATAATTAACAAGATAAATTAATAATTAAATAAATAACCAATAAATAAATTATAAAAAAATATATATTTATATTTACATAAGGTCAAATTTTTTTCTTTTTTAATTAATTGATAAATTTCGGTATTAACACGAAGGATCTCATTATCTAATAAAGTACCAGAAAGAGTTTTTCTATTTGGTAGATTATATGCAGAACGTAATTCTTTAATGAATTCAACAAAATATGGGTGTTCTACAAGGCGCCAAGAAAGCCCACAACAAACAAAAAGTCTAATAAGTGATAATTCAATTTTAATTCTTTTTTCTTCAGACAAAGGTAAAGCATCATAGTATTCTTCCAAAGTTTTTTGATCATCATCAGTATTTCGACTCATTTGAGATTTATTGCGAGATTCTATAATACATCGTATTGCTTCTCTAACTTCTGTCTTAACTTTTTTACAGTCAAGTAAGATATGACGCTCCATTGCTGATGCTTTTCCTCGTTTCCAAGTTGTATTACAAGCAGAACAAATAGCAGACCGGTGACCATCACCTTGATCTGGACCCTCAATAAAAAAATTCCATATCACTGCACGAGGCCTTCCACCTTTCTTTATTTCTATATCATTATCTGGTTCAACTTCACCTGACATTTGTTTTATTAAGAAATGATACAGAGAGAATTTTTAGTACATTTCTCACGTCAAGTAGTGTAACTACTTTCTTACATCACATGGATTTTAATTTTTAAGTAACTTGTTATGACAAGTTATTTTATATTCTAATACTTGCAACCCTAATTATGTTCTAATGTTTACAACCTTAATTACGAAATGTGGAATCTTGTATTACATTTATTATCAATTTTAGAATTTATCATATGCTTGGATTTTAACAAAATTTATCCCCCCTGCAGGTCATCTGATATATAGAATTACCAGATTACAGATCGACGTAATATACAGAATTCCAAAAATTCCAATAATGTACAAATTTTAATTATTACAAAACTTTTACTTTAAAAAAAAACGTCATTTAACAATAAAACTGTTCAGCATTTCAGCGCAGTATATCATATGATATACATGCATTTCCGATGTGATTATGCTCGAAACTATCCAACCTGCAGTAGCTGATTCGATTTACCGATCTGATCGGCTGATAATCTTTTTTTATTAAAAAAAAAAATACCTTTAGTCTTGTAAATTGACGAAAGGTGTCTTTTATTTTTGCTTTGGGAACAATGCTTGGATGGTAAGTCTATTCATTCTAATTTTATGTATTTATTAAACTTAATAACTAATTTATTTAATTTTTTTTTTTTTTACTATTTAGGTTTCTGTTGTTGGACTACTGATTTAGACATTCAAGAGCGGTAATATTAAAAGGAAGTTTTTTAATATATTATTATAAGAACGTATAATAATGTATGTTCTTTTCTTTTTCTATTTCTTTTTGTAGGAATGAACCTCCTGACGTATTTCCTGGACTTGGAGGTACAGCAATTCAAAGCGGAAAAGGTAATTTGATATAAGAACGTTTCATAACGTTCTTTTCTTTTCTTTTTTTGTAGGTTCCAGACTGGAGCCTTGGAATTGGAGTGAGTATATAGAAGATGAGAGTGGGATAATTTTTGGTTTAAAACATGTTGATATTCTTTTTCCTTAGTATAACCTTGGAACTGGGCAGGTAGTCGGGTACTGTATGTAGGAGTGGGAGATGGGAGATAGGAAGGTGTTTCAGAATGTTTTACTAATTGTAGATTCGAAATAATTTATTTTTTTTTCAATTTTTTTTTTTTGTTGTATTAGTAGTAACTTAAGTGAAAAAAATTAATAAAAAAACTTTACCTTAATAACGAGCAAATATGTATATTTTATATTAAATAATTTAAATAGTGATGTGTGTAAGTGTAAAAATAAGTCAACTGTTTTTTATTATAAAAATTTCAAGTTACTGGGTTACCCGAGGTGACCTGATGCTTTTGAATCAAACGGGTCAGATCGGGTCAGAACAGATTACCCAACCGAAAAAAAATTTCGGTTCAGTTCAGAACTCTAGTTTTGGATTTTGGCAATGATTTGGGATTTCGGCAATAGTTTGGAATTTCGACAATGATTTGGAATTTCGGCAATAGTTTGGGATTTCGGCAATGATTTGGGATTTCGGCAATAGTTTGGGATTTGGGATTTCGGAAACTATTATATGCCGAAAAGTGTTTCGATTTCGGCATATAGCCGAAAGGTTTCGGCACCCAAGTATAATTGTATCACATGAGATCTCCCTAGTTTCCTGTGCGAAGCGCCTACGGCCCAGTTCCTTGATAGTTCTAGGAGGGTTCCAGGAGCTGGCGAGTTTCGATAAATCACGAGATGATCGGTGCCAATCAGATTCGGAAAAAATATTACAGGCATATCAAGGGAGGAATTTTTTATTCGCATTGTAGATTAATTTACACAGAATCGCATATTAATTTCGCAGATGAAGTTAAAAAAGGACGAAGTGTTAACTATTACTTTTTATTTATGCATAACTACACGAAAATGAAAATTCTGGACACGCGTGTCCACTAATTGTGCAGTAATCTGGCACAGTAAACGCAAAAATAGATCTCACTAATCCATGTTATTTTGTTCTCTTCCGCAAAGCATTCAGTAAATTTTCACTCAATAAAGTCAAAACTTATACATTTCACAGAGTAAACACTTTTATTCTTCAAACAAAGCAAGATTATTTATTAAATTTCCTCCAACATCGTAAAAGCTGTATAATACAAGAAAAAAATTTTTCTATTTATTTTTATATAAAACTATTATTATTATAATATCAGATTGATTTGTACTTTTAGAGCCCATTGCTCGACATTTTTAATGGCGGGATTCATTCTCAAGACTGGTCGATCTTCGTTAGAATCTTTATCTCGAGTTGTGTAACTTTGATGTTTAAATTTGTCGTATATGTCATCTGGAACCACGAAGTAAAGTTGAATTTTAGCATTTTGATCACTAATATAGACTGGCATGTTTGTGATTACTTTTGTCAGCTCAACTTGTTTTATAGGATGATATTCCGACACCGTGACTTGAAAAATATAATTAGGTGTTACAAATAAGTCTACCGCACCAAAATTTTGTTTATCTGGTACGATAACTATGTTTTCTCCAGAATACTTTAAGAGATCGGATAAATTTCTTACAAACCCAGCTTCTGGCTTATGATGTACGAAAAATTGATCTTTTTCTTCACCTGTCAGCTTCCTTACTTCAAATTTCTGGTTTCCAGTACGAAATAGGTGGATTACATAACATTCAAATAAAAATCCCTTTGCACTAGCCTCATAAGGACTTCGCATAAGTCGTATTTTGTGCAAACAATCGACCCATGCTGTCTCTTCTAATTTTTCCTGAATTCTCTCGAATACATAGGGAGAGGCCCATTTGTAGTGATAATTGCGATGTGTGTCATCCGGCCATCTGTGAATGATTCGATTGCTAATTTCGACACAACTTTTTTCATCTTCAGTAAAACATTTAATAATCTTATCGAAGTTATCGGTCTTTGAAATGGCTAATTCAATACGACTATAAGCTTTTTCCTCAATTTTTTTCTTGTCTTCAGCATCCAGTGTTTCTTCTTTATTTCCAACAACATCTTTTATTGACGCCTCAACATTTCGAAGGACGTATCTAGGTACTCCACCTGCTTTATGAAAAAGATTAGTCACTATTTCTTTCGGCACTAGTGGAAAAGCATGCTCCCGACAATATAATAATTCTTCTAATGTCCACGGACCCATATAATATTCAATTGGATGAAGCTTATCAAATTCTTGAAATTCTGTTTTTGCAATTCCATTTGGTGATAGGGAGACAACTGTTGTTCCATACACTAATTTTGGGGATGTAATACCATCTGCAAGGTACCAAGTTGTAGTTAAATTGAGTAAATATTCGAAATCATTATATGTTCCACAGGTTATTATTTGATCCTTAAAACAATAGAAATCTTGACTGTTGATAGGCTGAGAAATTACAACGACATCTTCACATAAAAGTTGCATTAAGACGTAAACTAGGAAACATGATTTTCCGATACCCGATGTACCGGTGATAAGGAATTTCTTTAAACCGTAACCTGATTTCTTTTTCAGTTGATCGTAAAGATACTTATATGATTTTCTCACATAAAGTACTTTCTTTTCAATCACTGCAAGCTCTTCATTATGTTTAATAACATTATTTTTTTGTTGGTCTTGTTGCATTTCAAGAAGTTGGTCCTTCTGGCTCTTTGCTATATTATAAATGCTCTCAAACAACGGGTCTGATAGGTGATGTAAAGTCATTAGTTATGGATTCTGGGACTCATTTTACACTTTGCAAGAGCTTACTTAATTTTTGCTTCTTGTCAAATTCATTCGACTCTGTGGATTTGCGTTTCCCTGGCATATCTGCACAAAAAAAAAACTAACATTAGTTAACGAAACAACATCCAAATAGTTGTCAAAAGAGGTTAACGTATCACGTTCGAGATGACCAATCATGACGACGCAAAGGCTTACCATCTAAATTGGGTAAGGAGACCAAAAAAGGCAAAGTTAGTCCGAATGTTCAAAGAGTGTCATTTCAGTAAGTTAAATGCTTACCAGAAGAAGCAGTAACAAACAACAGAATATTCTTTGCGAAAGAATCTTTAACATTCGTTTCCTCAATATTGAAAAGTCTTAAGACAGAAACAAGTACATCTTTCTCACGTAGTTCTACTGCCTCATTTGGATTATCATTATTATACGTTGCTTTGAGAGTGAGACTTGACGAAGTGAAAGTATCGAGTTTTGGAGCCATTTCGATTTTTATTTTTTTCTTGAGGTCGTCCACATCTTCAACTTCCTCTAATGAAACTTTAGTCCAGTTATCAGTAGGATTTATAAGTTTAAACCAAACCTTTGGAGTTATCATGTTGAGTTTTGTGAATGAAAAAAAAGAGAAATAATAAGAAACGAACAAAGTGATTTTACATTTATATTCATCAAATTATAAGTCCGAAGTATCACAAACTTTCATTAAACATTCTATCAAAAGTTTTTCGTGTAAATATATAATAAAATCACGCGTCATTATGAGATATCTGAGATATCTTGACTCATCATATATCAGATATGATTTATTATAATCTTATAATCCAAATGCTTTTTATTATAAACAACGCGTAACTTTATTGATTATTTTTTAGATATATAACTAATCAGAAAATGCTAGAGAAGCGAATGAAATATATGATGCTATCAAAGAGGGAGGGAGTACACAGATCCGACATGTCTCAAGAAGCTAACTGAGCAACAAAACCAACATACCTTGATATTAATTTGCGGAATATACGAGTTCTTTTGATTGTTGATTTCGATGATGTTGATAGTGGTAGATTTGAAATTTTATTAGAAGTTTTCGCTCTTTCTTGATCTTTGATCTGCGAAAGAAAAAGTTATCTTTTACTTCGAGTTGCAGAGTAATATATAGTTATTATCTGTTTCTTTTTTCCGAATCTAGGAGGAAAAAAGGATTTTTGCTTATATTTGCACAAGGCGGATAAAAAGATTCACTAACTGGGGGCGGACACCTTTTTATATAATTTACAATAGGTCTAAAATCGACAGGACTTTTGGAATACGCTTTGGACGATCACATCATCATAGTAGCAATTACTCAAAATGCGCTACCCCTATTCTATTGTATTCGCAAAAAAAGGATAAAAAAAATTGGAATAATAGTGTATACGCGTAATATTGGATGGGCTAACGTCAACAGGGTAATACATCCATTCTGAGATCTGATTTACAAATTTAATCATCATGATAGCATGTATAATATACAAATTCAAGGGGCAGTTTTTTCAAAGTTGCGTGATGAACATATATGCCAGAACATTCGAGCGCCATAATTCATAAGGCGCTTCGTATGATGAATATAACATCTATTTCTTGGCCGGTTTTATTAATAGATCGATCGTATTGCGACCCTGCCTTTAAAAATAGACATATGTGACGTGATTACTATGCGTAATGCATATACTGCGAGTGTTACATATGCGGAAAGCTTCTTTATTATCATAAATCAAAAGATTCATTATTCCACAAGATCATGTGATTTTTAACTTGAATGTAAGATTAAATATTACCCAATTACTCACGCGAAAAAATAATAGTAATGAAAAGTTTTTTTATTACAATATCAGATATAATGTGAGCTACCACGCAAAATAAAATACAAAGTTCGGGACTTTAGTCCTATAAATATTTACCAATTACATTATTATAACCAGATTCATCCATATCAATGTATTTGTGAACATTTTTTAAATTTCCCACAAATTCAGATTCAGTTGGTGAGGAATCTCCTTCATCCTCGTTTCCATATTCAGGTCCATTTTCACCTGCATTCTCGTTGTTTACGTTGTTTATATGAAAATCAGAAATTTCATGTAATTTAAATGATCTATCAAGGCATATCTTACATTTGTAGCAATAACCTAAATTGTTATCAATCAAAAAAGAAAATATTAATATGCTATCATAGATATAATGGCATTGTCTTTTAGATCACAAATACCTTGAATGACAAAATTGTAATAGTTTTTAGGTGGGTTTCCAAACGTATCTTCAATATTTTCCGATCCATATTGCTCCTCACCATTTAACATTATCCTAACGGTACTGGCCTCTTTATTATTTTTGAGATTATCAAATATTGCTTTATTTTCAAAGGATACTTCCACTTTCCATAACCTAATGCCATAGAAATCATTATCCGAAAAGGACTTATAATATTTTTTCATAATGATCTCCTTAAGATCGACAATACGTTCATTTTTTTCTATTTCTATCTCGAAAAAGCCACAAGTACCTAAACTTCTAACGACGCTGTGAAGAGTAATTTTGGTCGTTTCTTCATACATAGAGCGTGTTAAAATTATGATCATGTCTTGATAAAGAAATACATTGCTAAGATTAACTAGACCTACCTCGATTAATTGCCAAATTTGCCATTTGTTGATTTGCTCTCATCAATGGCGAATCGACAATAACATGAATATATCCTACTTTTGGAAGTTTCTCACCATTCCAATAATTGCTAATAATTTTTCTGAGTTTCTTTGCATACCTCTCTTCACCTTCTTGTAATTCAAGGCTTAAAAATTCGTTTTCATCATCATTAGGAATTTGTACCTTCCATAGCATTAAGTCATCAGCCTTAATATCGGGGAAAATATTATTTTTCTGCTTGATGACTTCATAGATTTTATCTTTAAGAGAATCAACGTAATCGCTAGAGTTAATTTCAATATCAAATTTCTCAGCGAGACTGGAACATCCAAAAATTTCTTCAAAGTCTCGAACGAGATGACAAGTGAGCTTAATGTCCTTCATATCTCTATAAGGATTACCCATGATTAATAAAATCCACGTATTTATAATTCAATTTTTCAATTTCACCCTTTTCCACGACAAACCTGTTATACGCCAAAAAAAAAATGTCAATTATTGCGCCTAATAAAAAAAAACATCATTCATATGAAAGTTGGTTTCGATCGTCCTGGCTAAAGGTAGATCTGAATCGAGAAAGATCAAAGTGATCAACCCAAATCGCAGAAATAATATTAACCAATTTTTTCCATCTAAAGCAATTATAATGGCCTTGAGTCCGTTTAATAATAACAAAATTTACCGTTTATTTCTTGTAGAATGAATACTATTGCCCACCCCCTATTTCAATTGTAATCACAAAAAAGAAATATAAAACGGAATATTTGCTCATCATGGATAGATGACGAATCGCACATGTTGGGGGTGTGTACCACTAATTCCTATTCAAAAACAGATTAATGTATGATTAGCCATACACGTAATTTGAATGCGCTAACGTCAGTAGGATAATAAAAATATACCGTTTATTTATAGACAAATCTGTAAATCATAGATTCTAATCGGCTCTATTTCCATTTTTGAATTCTTTTTAACGACGCCCTGTCTTACGATCCGCATGCAAATCAGGATGTGTTTTTTATTAGTAATTCAGAACTGCGTAATGAGTGAGATAGAACTAAACTTCTGTTTGCTATAGTTAAATGCTTGTTCATTTTCTTCTGCGATAGTTTTTAAGTCTGAGGATATTTCCTCTATAGATTTATTTTTCTTAGTTCTTGCTTTATTTGTATTAAATGAACTTCTATTTTTGTTATAGGTTGTTTTGATCCTTCTGCAACCATACCACCTAATCCTATAATAGAAGAAAATAATATCAAGTTATGGTTTATAATTTATTCGGGATATTATTTATTAAGAAATTTATTTATCTACATACTTTTTGATGTAGCATTTTTAGATTTTTTTTTGGGTGCCATTTTTATTTAGAATATTTAGAAAGAGTGTGGAAATCAGCTTACATTTATATTAATGCAGTAACCGCGTTAACTACGCGAAGAATCTTCTGATCACAAATGAATCAGAATAAAGTACACGCTTGAAACACGAAAAAAAGTTCAAATTTTTTGTCACTATTTTAGGGGGCAATTTTCATCAAATAAAGCAAAGTGTTTGATCTGACATAATAAATCACATGAGTTTATATTTGTCATTACGAAACAAACTTTACCCCTGACATTTTCAGCGATTGTTATTATCTAGCTTTTTTTGTTCATGGTAAAGGTCTTGTGGATTGTTAAAAAATTTATTAAGTACGTCACATCTCCACGTTTTAACGAATTATTGAATTATTATTATTACTCTATTTTATAATTTACATTTTTATCATTTATATGATTTAGCGAAAAAAAATTAAATTGAACCTGGCAGTAAATTTAATTTCTTACAAATGTAGAGATTGTTAAGTATTTGTTTACAAACTTAACAATTTATTTTAATTTGTCAGTGATCTTATGTTGCTATTTTGTAAATCACATTTAAATTGGAATAAAGAAATGAGCAAAAGTTTGTAACCGGTAACTTACATAATGGTAACGTATTGGCAATGACAACCAATCTTTAGTATTCTGAGACAATATTCTGGTCAATCATGAACGCGAATCTGTCAGTGAGATATCTCAATAATATACCAACTCTGATTGAAGATCACCGGCTGGTACTCCTAAAATTTATTGTGTGTGAAAGTTTTTCTCTCCCTTTACTGATTTCATCATAACACTAAAGTAAATGTATCTTCGATAAAAGTCATGGAGAATTTAAATTTCAACACAATGCCTTCATCGGATTGAATATTATGGTAGTAGCCCGATGAAAACATTTTTTTGCCATGACATAATGTATTTTCTTATATGAAAATTTAGCCAATAAAAAATCATCTCCTCTCATCAATTTCGATAAAAAAAAAATTATTTTATAGCGAAAAAAAATCTTTTAAAATACTTTAAAAATTTTTTTTTTTTAAAAAAAAAGGAGCTAATAATATTACATATTACATAAGAAAACTTAATTCTTTTAGAAATGATAATCCAAACAAAAAAATATTTTTTTTAAACAAAAATGATACACAAAATAGAAAAATGTATAAGACATGCGTTCCTATCCAATAAAAATGGAATGGGAATCCTAATCTATATCTGCCGGTTGGAAAATCCAGATCTTCAACATGTAAAATAAAAAGCAATCAGAAATTTACTTATTGTTGGCAAACCGACAATTATGCCAATTAGACTCTATTTGTCAATGTGATACATTAAAATGGTATATAGAAAATTAACTGGTTGAGATTAGGGGTACAGACTTTTTCTTTTTTTAGCAGTGACGTTACGGCAGTTACGTCGGTAAAGTTTGTTGCATGTGAATTGTCAAGGCAAAATAAATCAATCGGTAGATCAGACTAGTCAATTATGGTTTGTGCTGAAAGATAATCTTTTTAGCGTTAATAAACTTAAAAAAATTTTTTCCTTTTTAAAAAAATTACTCTCACGGCTTCGTTTTTTAGGTATGTATCAGCTTAGATTTTTGCGCTTTGGATCGGTAAGTTAGCTTCGAAACTTTTGAAAAAAACTTTTTAATTTTTATTTATAGATATCGGTTTCAAGGGGGGGATGTATTTTTAAAAAAATCGTTTTAAACTTTCATTTCCTTTTTTAGATACCGGCTTATTTGGATCGGTAAGTGCTTTGGATCTTGGATTTGGTAAGTTTCAGTTCGGAACTTACAATTTTATTTTAATTTTTTCTTTTTTTTAAATTCCTCTTTTTTTTGTAGGTATCAGTTTCTTCAGCTTTGGGGTATGGTAAGTTTTGATTTGAAACTTCAAAACTTACATATTTTCTTTAATTTTTTATTAGTTTTTCACCTTTTTTTTTTTCTGTAGGTACTGGATCTTTTGGCATTGGACTTCGGACGTTGACTTCTTGGACTTCTTTGGTTGGATTTCTCAACATTGAACAGCACTTGGCTGTAGGTCAGCGTCTTGGAGTATTTTCTCTTAGAACGATAAGTGTCTTTGGTGGGTATGGTGATGTTAGCATTATTAAATTATACCAACGCCATTTTTCTTATCTAAAAATTTTTTTATTATAGGACCTTCGGAACCAAAGGAACTCCCTGAGAGGTAATTATTAAAAGTAGGAGGGGAGTTTTTTTAAATTGAGAACGCTAGTAAGCTTCGTCAAAAAAAAAAAACGATCAACCGGACAATTTTCTCTTTTACGAAATCCAACCTTTTATCTTGCGGAGTAATAATGTCAAACTTGAGTAAATTGAACATTTGAAGGGAAATTTTGTAAACAAACGAATTGAACACCGGGTAAAGAAGAAATTGCGGGGAAAGACATCGATTTACAAGCGAAATTAATTAAACAACGAATTGACGCGATACTATAACGACATTTTAGGAAAATCCTAGTTTTACTTTAAGGTCATGATATTATTGATATATATAATTAATTAATTTAGGTATATAAAAATCATTAAAATATTAGTATAATATGTATAATATGTATATTCGTTTCACACATATTATCATATATCCGAAATGTCCGAAGCACTCGTTTAAAATCACGTGTCTTATTGGTTAATCACGCGTGCAGACATACCTTGCATTACAATGTGTCTAACCGTTAATGACTTAATGTCCCGCTACGCTTTGGACAATAATAAATATTAACAATACTTTTTTTTGCCATGCAAGTGTGTCATGTGTGTGTGTCATGTGCGTATCGTTTAAAAAAGATTTATCAAAAAAAAAATTTTTTAGTAAATGTGTGGGGTAAGGATGCATTTTTTTTTTCTTTGTATGTAGTCATTCTTAAAATGGATTTCGTTTTTAATATATTAATCCTTTAATCATCACGTAAAAAAACATGCCAGTATATCACCAAAAAAAAACCAGCATATAATCAGGTTTATAAGTAACACACACGTGGTACAACTTGTGCTATTTAAACAATCATTTAATTAACAATATTATAACTAAAACTAGAATGTGATATTTAAAATCAATTGTAGGTTAATATTGTTCAAAAAATTTTGGCGTGGGATACTTTTTCATTTTCCTAGAGTTTTTATAACCGAAGTATTAAAGTGTAATGCGACTATAAACATTAAGGCAATCAAGGGTTGATTATTTTTGGCGGTAAACAAAAAATTCTTAAATTCGCGCCACATAATTTTACTTTAACCTAAAAATTCTTATGTTTTACAAATATTACGTGCTATTTGTGATTTCCATCATCCGCGGAATCTTAAAAAAAAATTCATTTATTTTAGAAAGGGTTTCCTAGATTGGATAACAATCCAATTCCTTTGTTATGCTTTACTGTGATTATATTTTTTAAACTTTCATTTATATTATTTTTGTGACTTAAATATGCTTGGAAAAAAAAATTTTTTTCATACTCTCTTGCATGAATCAAGTATTTAAGGTTCAATTCACGTGATTTACATTTTTCAGCGGATACAAATAAATTTGTTGTCCGATTTTATTATTATATGAACAAAGGAAGGTTCATTGATTGAATTAATAAAATTTAAACAAAGATACGGATATTTATTTTTAATTTTTTTTTTTTTTTTCGAAATTTTACGTAACGAAAATTAAAATTTAGTCTGATTACAGTTAAAATGGTGATGTCAAAATGAATAGGTCATATGCACGCACATTACATATTTAATAAAATATACTAGAACTTACTATACATTATAATAAATTATATACAGTCTAACCTCGATATACCGATATTCGATATACCGATATACTATTAAAAACTTGATATACCGATAAAATTTTATTTTCCCACTATATGTGAGGACATATAAATATCGGTATAACTTAGATATAACGATATTTTCTAAAAATTTTATATATGTCCCGACATATCGTTATATAAAGGGTTGACTGGACCCCGTTGTGCTACATTACAACATTGGCCACATGAACTTCCAGTTTTTTATGCAAATTTAATTTTGTTCCTTCCTTTTTTAAAGTGTGGGTGTGATGTGATGTTACTATGTATTGTATTGTTATGTATAATGTTGTTAGTTTTTTGTTGTACATGCTTGGCGGAGGGTTGGTAACTAACTCCAAGGCTTATTGAATATCTAAATTTTTTTATTTTCTCATACTTATTTTAATCATAAAAATAGTACGGAGTATTGTACGCGATCTTTTTATCTATTATGTTGTAATTGCGTGATTTACATGTTAAATTTGGGTTCTTTCAATTCTAAGTATTTTACACATAATTTCGCTTTTGTACGATCGTAAAAAAAAATGTTCTTTGTGGAGTAAACAAGTTTTTAAGATATGACATTTTTTTTTCAATGCATTAGTAGATGCAATAGAAAAGTACTTTAATGATTTGAGTTAGATAGATTAAATTGATGATTACGGGATGTGATGAATTCAATTGAAATTTTCAATAGAATTCAAACAATGCATATTCATTTAATGTTTCGCTTTTTTATATTTGGTGATGTTTTCTCAGAGAAAAGGGATGTTATATTACATTTATTACATTTATTACATTTGAAAACGTTTTACCTTATCTTACTTCAATTGAACCTGAATCTCTTTTTTTTTTTTGATTGAAACTTTTGAAAGATGTGTATAAGAGACAGGCTTTGGGGTATCATAAGTTTTGATTTGAAACTTCAAAACTTACATATTTTCTTTAATTTTTT